GAGGGAATGGAGCACAAAGAGCCTTTGCTTGAGGTGAAACTCCCATCATCCTCTGCTCCTCCTACTCTCCAGGACCAAACAGTGCTGTCCACCTGCACTGCATCCTCATACACCAGGGCCAACCTGGTCTCCTCATGTTGTAGTCCTTCAAAAAAAAGATGTATACTACTACCGACCGTGGCAAGCCTTTTGGACAGGCGGTTGGCAATACCTTGACCATCTATTAATAACAGATAACACAGACAAAGAATATGTTAAAGGTAATCCAATCTAAACTAAAAACATTCAAAAATGACAAAAGCTGCTATACAATTACTCTATTACCATCCAACAATAGACCATAAGCATCAGAAACAAGTTCAGAAACAGCAACAATTTATTTTATTTTATTATTGTGTTAGCCCACCCAGAAATATCATAGAACTCACATGAGTTGACTTGTTCCTATTGTTGAATATATACAGTGCATTTGGAAAGTATTCAGACCCATTGACTTTTTACACATTGTTATGTTACAGCCTTATCTAAAATTGATTGAATTTGATTTTTCCCTCATCAATCTATACACAATACCCCATAATGACAAAGCAAAAACAGGTTTATAGATTTTTTTGCAAATGTATATCAAAAAAACTTAAATATAACATTTACATAAGTATTCAGACCCTTTACTCAGTACTTTGTTGAAGCATTTTTGGCAGGGTTACAGCCTTAAGTCTTCTTGGGTATGACGCTACAAGCTTGGCACACCTGTATTTGGGGAGTTTCTCCCATTCTTCCCTGCAGATCCTCTCAAGCTCTGTCAGGTTGGATGGGGAGCGTCGCTGCACAGCTATTTTCAGGTCTCTCCAGAGATGATTGATCGGGTTAAAGTCAGAGCTCTGGCTGGGCCACTCAAGGACATTCAGAGACTTGTCCCGAAGCGACTCATGCATTGTCTTGGCTGTGTGCTTAGGGTCGTTGTCCTGTTGGAAGGTGAACCTTCACCCCATTCTGAGGTCCTGAGCGCTCTGGAGCAGGTTTTCATCAAGGATCTCTCTTTACTTTGCTCCATTTATCTTTGCCTTGATCCTTACTAGTCTCCCAGTCCCTGCCGCTGAAAAACATCCCCTCAGCATGATGCTGCCACCACCATGCTTCACCGTAGAGATGTTCCAGGTTTCCTTTAGATGTGACACTTGGCATTCAGGCCAAAGAGTTAAATCTTGGTTTCATCAGACCAGAGAATCTTGTTTCACATGGTCTGAGATTCTTTAGCTGCCTTTTGGCAAACTCCAAGCGGGCTGTCAGGTGCCTTTTACTGAGGAGTGGCTTCCGTCTGGCCACTCTACCATAAAGGCCTGATTGGTGGAGTGCTGAAAAGATGGTTGTCCTTCTGGAAGGTTCTCCCATCTCCACAGAGGAACTCTAGAGCTCTGTCAGAGTGACCATCGGGTTCTTGGTCACCTCCCTGACCAAGGCCCTTCTCCCCCGATTGCTCAGTTTGGCCGGGCGGCCAGCTCTAGGAAGAGTCTTGGTGGTTCCAAACTTCTTTCATTTAAGAATGATGGAGGTCACTTTGTTCTTGGGGACCTTCAATGCTGCAGAATGTTTTTGGTACCTTTCCCCAGATCTGTGTCGGAGCTCTACGGACAATTCCTTCAACTTCATGGCTTGGTTTTTACTCTGACATGCACTGTCAACTGTGGGACCTTATATAGACAGGTGTGTGCCTTTCCAAATCATATCCAATCAATTTAATTTATCACAGGTGGAAACATCAAGTTGTAGAAACATCTCAAGGATGATCAATGGAAACAGGATGCACCCAAGCTCAATTTCGAGTTTCATAGCAAAGGGACTGAATATTTATGTAAATATGGTATTTCAGTTTTTTATTTTTAATGAATTTGCAAAAATGTCTAAAAATCTGTTTTTGCTTTGTTGTTATGGGGTATTGTGTGTAGATTCGTGATTAAAAAATACATTTCATAAATTTTAGAATAAGGCTATAACGTAACAAAATGTGGAAAAAGTCAAGGGGTCTGAATACGTTCCGAAGGCACTGTATATATATCCTGCATATTTTCTCATCAGGCCACAGAGGAACCTCCGGTCTAGCTGAAGGTTCCCTCCAAACTGTTCTTCAATCCGTTACTCTGCAGTCTGTGGAGTGCAGTCTGGAAGTGACTGCTGGTGGAGGACCATCGATGGAGGATGCTGTTCTTCCTCTCCATCGTCTTGAGTTTTCTGGTATCAGAAAGGTTGTAAATACTTTGACTCTCAAGGGTCACACTGACATTCCTGCCACAATCCCTAATGGTGTCCACTGTTGTTCCTAAAACATAACAACATTGACAGATGTGACAACAAATTCGAATCAATACTGAAATTCTATGCTTAGAGAATTGATACAATGGTCTACCTGTTAGAGACTGTGCAATTTCTGCCATTTCCCTTTCTGCCTCTGTTGTAACTTCTGTTGCTCGGGAAAGCCCCTGTATCAGAGTCCACTAAAACAAACAAAAATGGAAATGTTCGGAACATCTCTAGAGTCAACCAGCATCAAGTAAATGAATAACGATTCTAAATATACTAACGTTGCCTCTGGCGCATCTTTTTCCCATGGTGGAGAAGGGCATCAGTCAGGAGGTCAATACGATGGGACGGCGTCATCTCCTTGGTGACTTTCCCAAGGCGCCTCAGATACGTCCACAGTCTCTCCATCTGCTTCCCATCTGCCAGTCCAGCACCTTCCACATATCTTGTGTTGAATTTCATCTACAAATATAAAATCATGTCATTCCATAGTGAAAGGGTTATTTGTTTAAACCTTATAAAATATGAATAAATAACTACTGACAATATTAATGATCATATTCAAATACCTGACATGGCAAGTCATGTCCGTAAGCATGGAAAACTGGCACAATAGATTTGGTCCCATGCTTCAATTCAGGAAAGTTTCTTTAAAAAGTTATGGACAAAATGTAAAAACAAAAAATTGGGTGGAAACTGCTATTCAAATGTTAACGTAAATGAGATCTTGAATAAAAAAGGTGAATTACTTGCATGTGGTTGCATCTTGCATGCAATGTCCTCCATGAAGATGAGATTGATGTTCTTGTCTCTCATCCCCTCCTCTCGCAGCAGGTACACTGCATTTGACAAACTACAGAGGAGATACATCGTTATTTGCGTACTAAATTAACCAAACATTGAAAAAAATACTGACAAAAACAACAACTCATTATCACTGCAGCCTACCTTTCACCCTTTTTCGTGTCCAATAAGTGAAGCGTTTGCTCATGCTTGCAGGAAACCCCCAACACGCCTGTTTCGTCCAATTTCGTTGTTTTGGGTTTGGACCCGATGGTGTTGCCCACTTGAAATCCCTGGCAACCTTACCATTTTTTAAAATATCAAGTACAGTACAGGTATAACGTACTGAGCTGTTGCCTGAAGCAGATCACACACAGTTGTGCCAGGGTCAGTGCCTAAATGGATGTTGCATGAGACAACCAATAATATTACATTCAACATTCACAATACCAACATACCGTCTCCAACGTTAAGACCACTGAGTCAAACAGATGAAGTGGAGGGACAACTGCATCATTTAAATATGAATTAGTGGCGAGGTTTGATATGAGTTCAAATAATTCTAGATTTTGTTCACGTTGTGCATAAGGTAACAATGGAAGTTATCCTTAAAATGCAGTGCATATTACATTCAGGCATAATGTTATCACTTTACCCGTTGGTGATAATATCACCTGAATCGATCCACCTGAATCGATCCACATGAGCTTGGTTTGCAAAGTACTTTTCCTCATGTTTTGGTGGCTCATAACTTGATCCAGAATACTTTTTCCTAGGCAAACCAAAAGCCCATCTGCTGCTACCTCCACTGTTCCATTGTTCTGTTAAGAGATGTAAAATATACTTGGATACAACTTAGTTTTTGGACCCCAGGTAGAGTATCTGCTGCTTTGTAACAGATCATGGGGATCCCAATAAACAAATAAAATGAAAGACGTCTGCTAGTCTGTACAGTTGTTTGACAAAAATGTAACAGATGTTTCTAATATATAATTTCTGTTTATAAAAGAGGGACATATTAAGTTCCGACATAGCATGTCGACCACATTCACCTGAATGGTGTGATTTCCACCTTTTAATGGGGTGATTGTAGTCTAGTCGGGTGGGATAAGGGACCACCCAGCGTCACAGATGACAGTAGGTCTACTAGCCTGTGTTAGAATTCCTGGTGACTCTGAGGTCTGTTTTTCATTGTGGTTGATATGGTGCTGGACGTGTGGCTGATTGTGGCTTTATACCAGAAAGAGAATTATGTTTTGTTCCTGCTGCATGCTACAGTTTGTTTACTCCACATCAGCAGCTGTTGCAGGTTGGCAGGAATGTCTGGGTGTGTCGAAAAAAATGACAGTTCTATATTGCTCTTTGATAGCCTTTATTATATTGAGAGACGTGCAGGAACATTTTATTGTGGTGTTCGATGAATAGAAAACTGTTGATGATCAACACTACATTTGTAACCTTCACAGTTCTATCCACAAGAGGACGTCACAGCTCCTGAATTCATATATCGCTGAGAAATACAATTATGTTTCAATGCACTCTTGGGTAGACTTCATTTTCATATCAAGCAAAAGACAGATATAAAAAAACAATAGGATGTCAATACTTTGATCCAGACATCCCTAATACAACTCATACAGATAATTAATATTACAAATCCTATATACCTTCAATACAGTTTTAAAAAGTAATTCCTACCTTATCAAAGCTTTGTCCAGTCTTTTCATATGAACTAGTCTATAACCATGTAAGATCTTGATTTGTAAAAATCTTATGGATATTAGATCTATCAGTGAAATTATAGAATATAAAATGTCCTTGAGACAGTTGAGATCACTGGCTCTACCTATAAAGAGTCAAAAGTATGACAATAGTTCATATTTCATCAGTCCAAATTACATATAGTTTACATTTCAGAATCATGAGGTTAGATCTCTCTGAAACATGTTTTTCAGACCAGGCCTTGAATTCCAGCCCTGTTTCTTGGCTAACATGTAGACGCATCCAAAGAGATCAGGGAACATCTTCATCAGGTCAACAGATTCTAAATCCTCAGCGCTGCAGAAGGAGAAACAAACACTCAGCCACCTTCAATGGTAAGAGACTGAAAACATTGAGTACTGGGAAAAACATTAGTCTTACTTACTAGTGCTCATGTAGGTTGCGTATGAAGCGTAGTAACCCCAACATGTTCTCAGGATAGGGCTTTTTGCCATCCATCTTATTCATCAAATCAGACAGCAGCTGTCAACATAAAACAATATCTGTAAATGGTGTAGTCTCTCTGTATGTGAGCCTTCTACAAGCTCAGCCAGGGGATAGGGTACTCTATTGCGTTAGTGTATACATGTTTTAATATACATGTACAGGTATGTATATTAAATAAAATGACATCTGGTTCACCTTAGATCTCCACTGACAGAAGTTTAGTCAAACTGTGCATAATGTTGTAAAGGAGGACTTGCTCCAGCCATCTTTGTCTTTCGTATGATTACATACAGTATTGTAACAATTAACAGCAACTTTCGTACATCAGCATTTAGTTTCTCACTAGACAGCAGCTCCACTAGTTTAGGAATTATGGTAAGTGATACCTTGTTGGGTATTTCTGTCACGGTGCATACTACTAAATGCAAGTTTCTTACTACTGTTGACTTCAGGATTCCCTGAGGAATTCTAGACAGACGTGTGCGTGCATCTTCAAGATAGATATCTAGTTAATTAGAGCCCCTCAGCCATTTAATGCTTGTCTGGCGGTATTCCGCATTGTCAAAACACAAATCAATCATAGTAAATGCTTTTTGAGGGTTCTCCTCTAGTAGGTGTTTGTCGAAGCAGTCGAAAATCTCAGTTGGGGATTTCTGCTGTAGTATACGGAGTTGAAAATCTACAAAAGGTTGAATTTTGGAAAACAAAATATTGTTTGGTGCCAAGTGATGAATTATTTTGACTAGATTTGTATGAATATGCTCATCATTAGGCTGTATAAGAGGTCTTATTTGCACAAGAGCACCAGCATGAATCAGTATCCTCACAATATCCTCTCTATCATCTTTCACTGCAATGTCAAGTGGTGTAAGGCCAAATGGTCCTATAGCATTTAGTTTGGCTTTTGCTACGTTCAGTCCCCTCACTGTATTGACAGGTGCTTTGGACATTAAGGCATAATCCAGAGGAGTCCAAAGATTGTATGATGGTTGATTGGGGTTAGCACCCTCTTGTAGAAGGTATGTACATATTTCTTCATTTGCAGATGCAACAGCAGCAATTAAAAGGGATTACGATATCTTTCCACTCAGCACAATGGTACAATCCATTTATGGCCTTGTCTCTAATCTGTTTCTTCAGCTTCTTCAGATTCCCATCAATAATGTTCTGTATTAAGGGATTTGTTGGCTGTGGTGGTAGTGGGGGTGGAGCTGGGTTCAGCAGTGTTGCCTGCCATAACTACTCATCAGCCATGAATTATATCAACGTAGAGATATCTGCAGAAGAAAATCTGAACTGTAAAGGTTACAATTGAATCAAATCTAACTGTATGAGGAATTCTCAAACAATTATATTTCTGAATACGTTGTTAGAACAATACTAAAATGTAAATCCAAGGCAGAGTTTATAAGAAAAATTCAATGCTAAAATATAGCTGATTATTTTACCTTATGCTAGCTATTACTGCCATCACAGCAGCTTAGGTCAGGTGCATACCAAATGACTATAGTCTCTTCCAAAGGTGGCATGGTTTAATAATTAAACCGGTTATTACTGTAGTTTATGGCATTACAGTTGTCACCAGAACATCAACGCTCACAACATGTACTTTTCCCAGATACAGTTTAAGATTCTGATACACAAATATACTATATTTTTAGTAAAGTTGCTGATACGTGATTGTGTAAAATGTAGGATTTGTTATATTTATCCACTTAACTTGCCTGGTAATCAAGAAGTTGTAAAACAGGTTACAGTCACAACAATGACATCTCCTGAAATGTAAAAACATGCGTTAATGTATAATATTGCATGTCAATCTTCTTTCCAATAAAGGCATACAATTTCATTAATAAGGCTATTCTAGTCACTTACCTCGCTCTCTCACTGTTACTGCTATAATCTATAACTTGGAATGAGCAACATTTACTGCAATTTACCCCAAAGATCAACCTTTCATTTCTCTTTAAGCACCTCTAAAAGTACTTCATGGTAAAAAAAAAAAAACTCCTCTTTCAAGCTATAGCTCAGTGTCCACTCCTGATGAGGAACAGACATCAACTAACAGTTCGTCCTGAAACCCAACCCCTGGTATGGCTGGTAACTTCAGCACTCTAGCCAACACCTACAGTCGCTGTCATGTCAACTATCACACAGCGGAGTTGGCTAACCCACTAACATCAGCGACAGCCTAACCCCAAATACATTTCCCTTCCATATTGTCACAAGGTGAGCAGAAGGTGAACACAGAAGAACTACTGCAGCAGGGACTTGAGTGCCATGCTGAGCCACACATCCATCACATTGTCCATCTCAGACTAATAAAGGCTGGAACCGATAGAGTAGCTTCCTTTTCATAAGATCTAGCAGGCTTGGTGGAAAGCAGAGTTTAGATATGGACCACCTCAGCAGCCAGGAGATGGCACTAAAGAACAGGGCTGTGATCGTACATTCTATTATGGCTTGAATTCGTCTGATTATACAACGGGTGGGTCTAATCCGGAATGCTTGTTGGTTAAAACCGCATTCCAGTCTGTGTTTATTCCACAAGTTACCACCGGCTAAATCTATGATGTCAAAATGCCTATTTACTCTGTTCCATCTGACTGCGCAATCCACTGTCTCATCATCCCAGCCAAGCAATTTATAAACTTGATCTCCACTATAAAAAGCATTTAGACATTATTTCACATTTCTTTTAGACTAACATTTAGTTTTCAACAGCGGAGATTTGCATAAACCTTGCTGTCTGTCTCTCCAACATTTGCAACATTGTTTCAATATTCAAATTCGATCTCCAGCTGTCGCATAGTAACGAACGTGTGGGAAATTGGGATGAGACAGACGGGCAGGCAGTTTTTCTCAGCGAGTCGAAAAAATTAATCAGCATAATCTTTATGGAAATATACAAAAATAGAAATAGAAAACAGGTAAAACGAAGTGCAGCTAGTTTGCAGTCTTTCCAGCTTCAGTTTGAAGTTATTGTGTTAGCTGTGTTGTTGCCTAGCTCCTCTGAACAACAGTGTCCTGATAAGAGAACACATTTTCTATGCCAGGTGAAATCGTGCCTCATTAGCTCATTGTTATGGATGTATCCAAATAAATGTCACTAGAAAACAGCTTAAACAAATGCAAATGCAGCTACTGTTGTTATTCTGGCTGCACTGTTTGACATGACTAAATTAGCCATAGTTGGCTAGCTTGCAAGCAAGGTTTAAGAACGTTGCCAGCCAGTATGGCAATATAACATTTAGAACGAACGACTGGGTCACGTCCAAAGATACAGAACCGATAGAACTAACGACCTTGGGTAGCAACCCTAGATTCGTGTCAGGACTATATCTTGTGGAAGGATTAAATGAATAAATTCATTAAATTACCTTAATGAAAATATGTAAATTCTTATTTTAATATGTTGGTAACCCGTTGTATAAAAGTGATAATGCCCTCGAAGCCGGTGTTTGCACTTAGTCTCGGGCGTAACACCTGTGCCAATATATCCTCCAAACACCGGCTTCTTGGGCATTATCACTTAAATAGATTCTAAGGAATGACGCAAACAACAATCAGTAATGTCATTCACTACAACCCTTATGGTGTTGGGCCCCGCAAATCAAATTTACATTTACATTTTAGTCATTTATCAGACGCTCTTATCCAGAGCGACTTACAGTTAGTGAGTGCATACATTTTTTTTATTTTTATACTGGAATCGAACCCACAACCCTGGCGTTGCAAATGCCATGCTCTACCAACTGAGCTACATCCCTGCCGGCCCTGGATGACACTGGGCCAATTGTGCGCCGCCCCATGGGTCTCCCGGTCGCGGCCGGCTACGACAGAGCCTGGATTCGAACCAGGATCTCTAGTGGCACAGTTAGCACTGCGATGCAGTGCCTTAGACCACTGCGCCACTCAGGAGGACCAAATGTTTTTATAAAGCCCTTTTTACATTAGCAGATGTCACAAATTGCTTATACTGAAACCCAGTCTTAAACCCTAAACAGCAACTGGTCACAAACATTTTATTTTCCGACATAGGCGACTGGCCCTTTAAGAGTCGTCCAAAAATGCGCACTCACACTATTTTCCATGGCGTACAATAGGATGCTCACCTCTGCACTCGTGGTGGGTCTATTTCTCCCCCACTCATAGCCTATGACGTCACTCCCTCTGTCGGGTCCCTCAGTTCGTGCTGTGCGCGGATGGCAACTAAAATACTATGTAAAACAAGCAAGCTCCTCCAGAGATTAAAACAAGTATCGTATCTGAAGATTATGCCTTTGTTAAATGTTTTTCATGAAGAAATGGAATGGTGTTTGTGTTAGTATCAAGAGGGAATGTTTTGGGTGTGACGCCAAATACAACAGACCGGAAGTGTGTTGTAGACAGGGGAGACTGGTGATTGGCCAGAAGAGGGAGTTTCATTGTTTATAAATAGGGGGGTTAAACGAAGAAGACGTCAGAACGGCCATGGCAATCGGAGGAGCCGTTCTCCGGGTGTCATGTCACCTGTCATTTATGCTGTAACCTCGTGATTTTAATAAAAGCCTCTAACACGATGCAGCATAGACGGACTCTTTGTTGACAGCAATAATGGCCACCATTCACCCGATACGACACAAGGCTTGAAAATGATTTAAATCAATTGTCCATCCAAGCACTACCACTTGAATGAGCTCCAAGTTCCTCTGTTCTTCACAACGAGATAGATCAGTCTAGCACCCAGCAATACTGCCGGTCCGCGCGTGATGACAGCCAGGTGAGTCTATTTCAAAGAGTGCGCTCCAATGTTTGACGACGACGACGACGGGGGGGGGGACACACACACACTGCAATCCATTTACGTGCACACGGTCAAGACTCGTAGAAAAAAAGGTAAATAAAAAAGCATGCGTTTGTTAGGTAAACATGGTTCACACTTGAATGGGAAAACGAAAAAAGTATCAGTCACACTCCACCACATATACTTAAAACATACTAGTCCTCCTCGTGGTTAAAAGAGACACAAAAGTAAAGACTCATTTTTTCTCTCACAAAAGTAGTGCTTTACTAGTCCTGTATTAGCGGACCGATATAGCTGTCCAGTGACTTTGGATGAAAGAAGTGTAGGAGCTGTCTTTTTCCAAGTCGGTCCATTAGACTATGTTCTCCAAAATTCACAAATTAAAGACCTTTGATTATTCACTGTTAACGGGTTATAGTTAGTTAGTCAGTCTGTCTGTCATTTTATACCTGCTGCTGAAATGTCGCTCTCTCTCTCCTCCGGCCACCGCCCACTCGCACTGACACACACGCAGCACCACAGAATGCATTGAAGGGTCATTCTGATCATGGCTGATACGTAGTTTTTTATTGGATTGATCATATTTTTAAACGTGCGTTCATTAATTACATTAACAACATTTATTAAACTAATTTTCATGACTTTTCATGAATTTACAAACCCTCATTTGACAACTTGGAACAGCGCATCAATCTGCGCAATCTCGAACAGCCTACTGTCCCTCACAGTCTAGAGGCAAATAGGGTACGAGGGGGTAAGTAGCCCCCCCTAAGAACAATGTCTAATTGCTGACACAAAAAAGCAACAATTGAGAGAAAAAAATGGTATGTGGATAAGGTCATGCTTATGCGAATAAACTATAAAGGGAAATAAATGGCATCAGTTTACACTTAGTTATTTCATGAAATGTTGTTTTTAGAAAAGGGCTGTTCCGGGGGTGCCAGTTACCCCGGTAGAAGATTATGGCATTGGGTTTCACAGAAGTGTGTTAAAATCTATTTTATCCGTTTTAATTAGAAATTCTTCAGTAAGTAATACTTAAAAGCTTAGTCTAGTCTAATTTTAATTATTTAAATAAAATATTAGGGGGGGAGGGGGGGATGGTGTGACACATGTTACCATTAATATCCGCACTATGAGGAGATTTGATGTAAAGTCCCTCTTTTTAACTCACCTGCACATACATTTTCTTTGTTCTGTCTTTGTTGTTCCTTTTCCATACAATCCATTATGTACAATTGCACTAAATATTATTTGAATAATGCAAGATTTTAAATCCCAGCAGTCTTTAAAATGACATTCAGGAGCAAAAGGTTTTCAATAGTTGCTTTTAATTAATTAAAACAAATATTCATTGGAATATAATATTGGAATGGAATATAACTAATAACATTAAATACAATTTGAATATAACATTTAATAACAATAACTTAACTAATTAACTCAGTGTAAAATTGATGTGGCAACTCTCTACTGGTCTGCTATTGCACCATTCTAATTTGTACATAGATCACAAATAAAGCTATCCTCAGTTAAACTGGAGCACAACTCATGAGCCCACCTCCTGTACTGCTCAGTTTCCCCAACACACTCATCCAACGTATTACTACTTTACTCAAAAATTATCTACATTTTCCTCTCTAAACAAGTGGATTATTTATCTTAAGGCTTCCCTACTTGTATATTTAAAAAACTATTATAGACCTAAATTCATTGGAATATATCTACAACTTTAGATCAACTTACCACAAAATCGTTTTGTTGAAGTATCTCCAGAAGTTGTCATGACACAGAGGACATTTTTTGTTGAGCAAGAGCAGTGGCAGCCAGGGAAAGTGTTGGGGAAATAATTTGGTGACATCTTGTGGTCTTTATGTGAATTACAGGAGGGGGTTGGTGGGGCAGTTACCCCATGTGGCTAGTTACCCCCTCGTACCCTAAACTTGAACAAAGCGAAATCAGGAAATGAATGCCCACTCTCCATTGCTATTGAATAAAGATCCTGCATTCATTCCACTTTGATCAACCTTTTTTTCCTTGGTGTGTGAATCTGGGCCGGCGATAGGCTGCTTTGTTTTTTTATAGAGGAGCCGATACACAATTCCCCAAAAATTAGAAGTGCCGGTTAGATGTTCCGGACAGCTCTGGCACATGTAGCCTATATTCTAGACAACACCATACAGAATCACAGACGTAGTAAGTACATTTTTCCAGTTCTAGAAGGAAAGGACAAGTGCAAGGTTTTTTATTTAATTTTGTTCTATTTTTTGTCAGGGCCAGGAGGGCACAGCCACGGAAGACAATAAATAAAAGGGTTCTGACAGAGATTCAGACACAGCAGAGAGAGTCACCCAAAACACCAAAAGTGGTACCGATCCACTTTCCCAGCGTATCGAGAGGGCTTTTATTTTGAAGGTGCGAAACCGGAAGTTAATTTTTTGTGACGTACACGTACAGTTGTACACACTGTTGTTGACATATACCGCTGTTAGTTCTGATAGTCCAAATAGTGTACTTTCAAAACATTATAGGTAGTTAGTTTTACTACTTTTAAATAGTTATTTGTAAGTCAACCTCGTGCATTATCAGGTACGAAAATGACAATTCAATAAAAGCGATTTTTTAAATCAGCTACAAATTTGTATCCAACTTATTATCCCACTCAAGTGACATAGGTGGCTAGTTACCTAGGTAATTTTGCATTTTGGGCTAACGTTATCTATAAACATGAGCAATCTTGTATTCTGGAGTCAAGGTAGCTCCGAAGTGGATTGGTGTGAAGGAAATTATCTTATTTACCCTGGAATTGCAGAGTTCTACAATACGGTAAATATGTTCCTGGTTGATCACATTGTAACTATTTTTTTTTTGGCTTTAGGCCTAATGCCATTTCTAATGTGAGAGATATGTTCATGTGCTCATAATCAATTTCCTCCCCTATATTTTGTTCTTCATTGCAGATCAGCAACATCCTGTTCTTTATTTTGCCACCTATTTTGATGTGTCTGTTTCGACAATATGCTACACATTTCAACAGTGGGATATATCTGATCTGGGCTTTGCTGGTTGTGGTTGGTAAGTCTACTGCTCTAACTTTTAAATGACACTGGGATGTGAACCAGAATTTGCTTTTACAGGAGACTTTGATATGGTGAATGCGATTTATGATGGAGTTGAGTGGCAACTAGTGTGGGCGACATCACATAAAATGACGTTTTTATTATTTTTTTACTACTGATTTCAGCGCATAAAGAATAGCCCGCAATTACACATAACAATGTCGTGTGAGTAATTGCGGGCTATTCATTGGGTGCTGAAATCAGTAGTTTTTATAAAAACTAAATGCTATTTGACATCGGAGCTCCAGTCTGGCCACACTAGTCACTGCTCAACTCCATCATAAATTATGGAGTTGAGTGAGCTAGTGAATGGCACGTTGAATGGCTGCTTCCTGTGCTTAAAGGAGATTCACCATATCAACGTCTCCTGTAAAGGCAAATTCTGGTTCACATCCCTGCTAAGTTCTGCCAGTGTAAATCGTGGATTTCTTTAATCAGCTAGCCATCCACCAGCTTTTTAAGCATTATAATGTAAAAATACCTGCGTTACTCGCCAATATGGAGTTTCAATGAGCAACTATCATCATTTACTGCCTTCACGGCCTATATGTACTTCCAAAAAAGGTCTAAATAAAACATTTACAAGCAACAGAAAAATTGCCTCCGGCACCTCCATTTTTGGTGAGTAACAAAAGTATTTTGTCATTTTAACGCTTGAAAAGCTGGTGAATGGCAAGTTGAATGGCTGATTCCTGGGCTTAAAGGAGTATTGCCATATCAACGTCTCCTGTGAGGCCAGATTCTGGTTCAGCAGGTATGCATCTTTTGTTGTCACTGCCAAATCCTACACAACAGTTGCCTCTCCTCAGTAGTCTCGGAAACCCAACCCTAAGCCGGAACATTGTGGGAGACAACCCGGAGAGACGATCTCCTCAGCATCTAGCCTAAGCCTATAGATGGCAGATTGTGTATTGTACTCACATCGTACTCTCTGTACACATTGTCTCTTCTCCCAGGCATTGGATCCACTTACTTCCATGCCACCCTTAGCTTCCTGGGCCAGATGCTGGACGAGCTGGCCATCCTGTGGGTGCTCATGTGTGCCATCGGCATGTGGTTCCCAAAGAGATACCTGCCCAAGAGCTTCCGCAGAAACAGGCAAGTGACACACATACATACACACCGGTGGAGGCTCCTCAGAGGAGGAAGGGGAGGACCATCCTACTCAGTGAATTTCATAAAAATAAAAATAGTGACATTAAAAAAGTTATCCTTTTTAGATAAATCGATACTAAATATGTTCACATCACCAAATAACTGGGGTTAGCGATGAAGGTCTACAGTAGACTCAACAGCACCCTCTAGGGTAGCACCATGGTATAGCCGAGGACAGCTATTTCCCGTCCTCTTCTGGGTACATTGACTTCAATACAAAACCTAGTAGGCCCCCTTCCATAGACTACCACAGTAATTATGACAACTTCCGGAGGATGTCCACCCATACACAAAAATGTATGCACGCATGACTGTAAATCGCTTTGGATAAAAGCGTCTGCTAAATGGCATATTATTATTATTATTATTATTATTATTATGTCCTCCAACCTATGAGCTCTTGCAGCATTAACTGACATGTTAGCCTTCCAATCAAAGGATCAGAGAATGAATCTAGTACTGAAAGCATAAGCTACAGCTAGCACTGCAGTGCATAAAGTGTTGTGAGTAGTTGACATAAAGAGAAAGACAATAGTGGAACAGTTTTGAACAAATTAATTTCTTTAAAATTTATTAGATAAGCAGCAGAGAGAAAAAGAGAGCTAGCTATATTTTGTTGTATTTTTTTCTTCTTTTTAGTTTACCTTTCACTTACTTAGCTAGCTAATGCAGCTAATTTAGCCTACTCAACAACCTGACTCAAAAAGCGAGGAATGCTATTTATGTTAGCTAGCTGGCTAAGGCTATCCAACACTGCAACTCTTCCAAGTCAAGGTAAGCTTTCGGTTTTATTAATTTATTGCCACTGGGGCCTGCCAGTGTAACTGCTAAAATGCTTACTGTACTGCGTGTTTGTACACATATTGGATTGTGGGTTTACTAACGTGTTAGTTCTAGTAGCTATGTAGACTATGACGTTAACTAATATGGTAAACAACAATGTAGGCAGGTTAGCGGTCAAGGTAGGAAGGTTTGGCTTGGAGAGGTTTTTTCACAACAGACAGCTGTTGTGTTGTGCACTGAAGTCCACAAGCGAAGGGAAAAGGTGAGAGGAGGAAAGCGCGTAGTGGCGAGAAGGAATTATACAATGAGCAAAGTGATGATGCTGTATGTGGCTGCTATGAAAGTGAACTCTGTGTGCAGTTGATCAGGAGTGTAGGCCTATTCATTCCGCCGATTCAGTTGCAAAACGTTTCTTAAACGGAAACAAATGGAACGAAACAGGGATGGACCTACCTGAATTTGTCTAATAGAAACTCTTGTTTTGCAACTGTTTAGACTAATGATTACACCCCAGATTAGCTAAATACAGGCAAGAGTGTGCAAGGTAGTAGTGAATGTGTCCCTGTCTGTCACCTTGATTACACCAATTGGTCTCTCGGCCTGTGCACCTATGTTATAAACTTTCATTTGTAGGCTAGGTTGTAGTAACCTCATGCTGGGTATAGGGAAAATTTGTCATTTAGTAGCCTAAACCTATTGAAGTTACATGGAGCTGGGTGAATGGAATATGAATGACAGTCATCCAATATGCTGTAAATTGAAATAAGGCCATGCTCATGAAATAAAAAATCCAGAGTTACACCAGGAATGCACAATCCCTCCATCAGTGCTCAGACTGTCCGCAATAGGCTGAGAGAGGCTGGACAGGGCTTGTAGGCCTGTTGTAAGGCAGGTCCTCACCAGACATCACCGGCAACAAAGTCGCCTATGGGCACAAACCCACCGTCGCTGGACCAGACAGGACTGGAAAAAAAATGCTCTTCACTGATGAGTCGCGGTTTTGTCTCACCAGGGGTGATGGTCGGATTTGCGTTTATCGTTGAAGGAGCGGGATCGATTTGGAGGTGGAGGGTCCGTCATGGTCTGGGGCGGTGTGTCACAGCATCATCGGACTGAGCTTGTTGTCATTGCAGGCAATCTCAACGCTGTGCGTTACAGGGAAGACATCCTCCTCCCTCGTGGTACCCTTCCTGCAGGCTCATCCTGATATGACCCTCCAGCATGACAATGCCACCAGCCATAATACTCGTTCTGTGCGTGATTTCCAGCAAGACAGAAATGTCAGTGTTCTGCCATGGCCAGCGAAGAGCCAGGATCTCAATCCCATTGAGCAGGTCTGGGACCTGTTGGATCGGAGGGTGAGGGCTAGGGCCATTCCCCCCAGAAATGTCCGGGAACTTGCAGGTGCCTTGGTGGAAGAGTGGGGTAACATCTCACAGCAAGAACTGGCAAATCTGGTGCAGTCCATGAGGAGGAGATGCACTGCAGTACTTAATGCAGCTGGTGGCCACACCAGATACTGACTGTTACTTTTGATTTTGACCCCCCCTTTGTTCAGGGACACATTATTCAATTTCTGTTAGTCACATGTCTGTGGAACATGTTCAGTTTATGTCTCAGTTGTTGAATCTTATTATGTTCATACAAATATTTACACATGTTAAGTTTGCTGAAAATAAACGCAGTTGACAGGGAGAGGACTTTTCTTTTTTTGCAGAGTTTATTAGACGTTTTTCGAGGACCTAGCACAAGCTTAGCGAGATGTTCAACGTCATGGGAATGGTAGAGCGTCCACGCGCCTACTTTACTCTTTAAAAAAAATAATCAAGACTGATCAAGAAGTGAATAAACTAAAAGCTAAAACTACCAATTTGAGATGGAAAAATAATAAAATACTCACAATCATGTTAATAAGCCTGTATAGTCTGGTCAGAAATCCACTTGAGCTCATTCAGCTGTAGGCTACATAACATTACAGTGATTTTCACATGGGCAGGGGCATCGGATCTACTGTTTATTTTTATTACATTTTGTATTACATTTCTATATATTTTTAGGTGGTAGATCAGCTTTAATATTGCAGATAGATCGTGGCTTCTATCAATGTAATTGTCTTCATCATTTCCAATCCCCCGTATCTATATTTTTGTAAATATATACAGTGCATTCGGAAGGTATTCAGACCCCTTCACTTTTTCCACATTTTGTTACATTACAGCCTTATTCTAAAATTGATATATTTTTTAAATGTCATCCTCATTACACACAATACCGCATAATGACAAAGCGAAAGCAGGTTTGTAGAAATGTTTGCAAAAAAGATAACAATAAAAAACAGAAATACCTGATTTACATAAGTATTCAGACCCTTTGCTATGAGACTCGAAATTGAGCTCAGGTGCATCCTGTTTCCATTGATCATCCTTGAGATGTTTCTACAACTTGATTGGACCACAGTCCACCTGTGGTAAATTCAATAGATTGGACATGATTTGGAAAGGCACACACCTGCCTATATACAGTGGGGGAAAAAAGTATTTAGTCAGCCACCAATTGTGCAAGTTCTCCCACTTAAAAAGATGAGAGAGGCCTGTAATTTTCATCATAGGTACACGTCAACTATGACAGACAAAATGAGAAATAAAAATCCAGAAAATCGCATTTTAATGAATTTATTTGCAAATTATGGTGGAAAATAAGTATTTGGTCAATAACAAAAGTTTCTCAATACTTTGTTATATACCCTTTGTTGGCAATGACACAGGTCAAACGTTTTCTGTAAGTCTTCACAAGGTTTTCACACACTGTTGCTGGTATTTTGGCCCATTCCTCCATGCAAATCTCCTCTAGAGCAGTGATGTTTTGGGGCTGTCGCTGGGCAACACAGACTTTCAACTCCCTCCAAAGATTTTCTATGGGGTTGAGATCTGGAGACTGGCTAGGCCACTCCAGGACCTTGAAATGCTTCTTACGAAGCCACTCCTTCGTTGCCCGGGCGGTGTGTTTGGGATCATTGTCATGCTGAAAGACCCAGCCACGTTTCATCTTCAATGCCCTTGCTGATGGAAGGAGGTTTTCACTCAAAATCTCACGATACATGGCCCCATTCATTCTTTCCTTTACACGGATCAGTCGTCCTGGTCCCTTTGCAGAAAAACAGCCCCAAAGCATGATGTTTCCACCCCCATGCTTCACAGTAAGTATGGTGTTCTTTGGATGCAACTCAGCATTCTTTGTCCTCCAAACACGACGAGTTGAGTTTTTACCAAAAAGTTATATTTTGGTTTCATCTGACCATATGACATTCTCCCAATCCTCTTCTGGATCATCCAAGTGCAAACTTCAGACGGGCCTGGACATGTACTGGCTTAAGCAGGGGGACACATCTGGCACTGCAGGATTTGAGTCCCTGGCGGCGTAGTGTGTTACTGATGGTAGGCTTTGTTACTTTGGTCCCAGCTCTCTGCAGGTCATTCACTAGGTCCCCCCCGTGTGGTTCTGGGATTTTTGCTCACCGTTCTTGTGATCATTTTGACCCCACGGGGTGAGATCTTGCGTGGAGCCCCAGATCGAGGGAGATTATCAGTGGTCTTGTATGTCTTCCATTTCCTAATAATTGCTCCCACAGTTGATTTCTTCAAACCAAGCTGCTTACCTATTGCAGATTCAGTCTTCCCAGCCTGGTGCAGGTCTACAATTTTGTTTCTGGTGTCCTTTGACAGCTCTTTGGTCTTGGCCATAGTGGAGTTTGGAGTGTGACTGTTTGAGGTTGTGGACAGGTGTCTTTTATACTGATACCAAGTTCAAACAGGTGCCATTAATACAGGTAACGAGTGGAGGACAGAGGAGCCTCTTAAAGAAGAAGTTACAGGTCTGTGAGAGCCAGAAATCTTGCTTGTTTGTAGGTGACCAAATACTTATTTTCCACCATAATTTGCAAATAAATTCATTAAAAATCCTACAATGTGATTTTCTGGATTTTTTTTTCTCAATTTGTCTGTCATAGTTGACATGTACCTATGATGAAAATTACAGGCCTCTCTCATCTTTTTAAGTGGGAGAACTTGCACAATTGGTGGCTGACTAAATACTTTTTTTTCCCCACTGTAAGGTCCGACAGTTGACAGTGCATGTCAGAGCAAAAACCAAGCCATGAGGTCGAAGGAATTGTCCGTAGAGCTCGAAGACAGGATTGTGTCGAGGCACAGATCTGGAGAAGGGTCGCAAAAAAATTCTGCACTATTGAAGGTCCCCAAGAACACAGTGGCCTCCATCATTCTTAAATGGAAGACGTTTGGAACCACCAAGACTCTTCCTAGAGCTGGCCGACCGGCCAAACTGAGCAATCGGGGAAGAAGGGCCTTGGTCAGGGAGGTAACCAAGAACACGATGGTCACTCTGACAGATCTACAGAGTTCCTCTGTGGAGATGGGAGAACCTTCCAGAAGGACAAAATCTCTGCAGCACTCCACCAAGCAGGCCTTTATGGTAGAGTGGCCAGACGGAAGCCACTCCTCAGTAAAAGGCACATGACAGTCCGCTTGGAGTTTGCCGGGTGGTCTGATGAAACCAAGATTGAACTCATGTCAAACATTTTATAAATTGATTTGCATTTTAATGAGGGAAATAAGTATTTGACCCCTCTGCAAAACATGACTTAGTACTTGGTGGCAAAACCCTTGTTGGCAATCATAGAGGTCAGACGTTTCTTGTAGTTGGCCACCAGGTTTGCACACATCTCAGGAGGGATTTTGTTCCACTCCTCTTTGCAGATCTTCTCCAACTCATTAAGGTTTCGAGGCTGACATTTGGCAACTCGAATCTTCAGCTCCCTCCACAGATTTTCTATGGGATTAAGGTCTGGAGACTGGCTAGGCCACTCCAGGACCTTAATGTGCTTCTTCTTGAGCCACTCCTTTGTTGCCATGGCCGTGAGTTTTGGGTCATTGTCATGCTGGAATACCCATCCACGACCCATTTTCAATGCCCTGGCTGAGGGAAGGAGGTTCTCACCCAAGATTTGACGGTACATGGCCCCGTCCATCGTCCCTTTGATGCGGTGAAGTTGTCCTGTCCCCTTAGCAGAAAAACACCCCCAAAGCATAATGTTTCCACCTCCATGTTTGACGGTGGGGATGGTGTTCTTGGTGTCATAGGCAGCATTCCTCCTCCTCCAAACACGGCGAGTTGAGTTGATGCCAAAGAGCTCGATTTTGGTCTCATCTGACCACAACAGTTTCACCCAGTTCTCCTCTGAATCATTCAGATGTTCATTGGCAAACTTCAGACGGGCCTGTATATGTGCTTTCTTGAGCAGGGGGACCTTGCGGGCGCTGCAGGATTTCAGTCCTTCACGGCGTAGTGTGTTACCAATTGTTTTCTTGGTGACTATGGTCCCAGCTGCCTTGAGATCATTGACAAGATACTCCCGTGTAGTTCTGGGCTGATTCCTCACCGTTCTCATGATCATTGCAACTCCACGAGGTGAGATCTTGCATGGAGCCCCAGGCCGAGGGAGATTGACAGTCCTTTTCTGTTTCTTCCATTTGCGAATAATCGCACCAACTGTTGTCACCTTCTCACCAAGCTGCTTGGCGATGGTCTTGTAGCCCATTCCAGTCTTGTGTAGATCTACAATCTTGTCCCTGACATCCTTGGAGAGCTCTTTGGTCTTGGCCATGGTGGAGAGTGGAATCTGATTGATTGATTGCTTCTGTGGACAGGTGTCTTTTATACAGGTAACAAGCTGAGATTAGGAGCACTCCCTTTAAGAGTGTGCTCCTAATCTCAGCTCGTTACCTGTATAAAAGACACCTGGGAGCCAGAAATCTTTCAGATTGAGAGGGGGTCATATACTTATTTCCCTCATTAAAAATGCAAATCAATTTATAACATTTCTGACATGCATTTTTCTGAATTTCTTTGTTGTTATTCTGTCTCTCACTGTTCAAATAAACCTACCATTAAAATTATAGACTGATCATTTCTTTGTCAGTGGGCAAACGTACAAAATCAGCAGGGGATCAAATACGTTTTTCCCTCACTGTACATACACATACATATCCTTTAAAAAATATATATTCCCCTTTATTACTTTCCAACCCCACCACCCTTTCCCTAATTGGAGTAAACTAGTGAACAACAATGCTTAGGCCTCTACTTCCAGCTTATACTTACTATATACATTTTATGGACACAGTCAATTTTACAATAATTATATTTTGTTTGTTTTTTCTCCTGAACTTCTTCTACTCTCAACCTCTCCGATCATTTTCATGATGTCCATCCGGTTTGCTTCTATATGCCATATCTTTCTAACTGTGCTCTTTCACAAAAGCTCCCAACCTACAACCTATATACTTATTATGGACACAGTATGATTACATTATTAGTTATCTTGTTATTAGTTGTTGTTATTAGTCCCATCCTTCAACTCCATTCAACACCACCCATCTATCTCTTAACACCATCCATATAGGATTTCTATTTGCCATATATTTTTCAACTGTACTGTGATGTTTTACAAACGTTCTGAACCTTTCTATTCTCATTGTTTCTACAGATTGTAAATTGAAAATAAACATTTTTGCTTAAAGTATTATTATATTATTGATCGATTGACTATGACTTTTCAGATCACCCAGTAATGCTATCTGCAAGGTTAGCTCCAGGTAAATATTGCAATCCTTTAGCCATTCCTGGACCTGTGACCAAAAACAAGCTACAAATGGACAGTACCAAAACAAATGATCTAATGATTCTGTCTCTTCGCAGCAAAATCTGCAGAGCTGGGAAGATTGTATCCCCCATATAAATAACATTCTATTGGTAGCAAGAATTGTATATAATAATTTAAATTGAAAGATTCTAAGTTTTGAATCCAGTGTCGTTTTGCGTATCAGTTCATAAACACTATGCCATGGGATCGGTACGTCAAAAATCTCTTCCCAACTATTTTGCAATCTATATGGGACGGCTGTCAATCCTTTGTACTGTGTAGTACTGTGTTAGCCAAAGTTAGCTAGCTAGCTAACAGCAAACAAGGTTAGTAAGCTAACTGGATGGTAATGCCCACAATAATAAAGTCACTTTTGCAGGCAGATCGTGTGCACTATGCATAAAACGGTATTCAATATGGTTTGCAGTGAGGGACTTCAGATGTGCCAAACTTAGGAGGGGCTAGAAAAACAAGTATTCAGTCAATGCAAGCTAGGTGTCTGTTCTGAAAGTGTTAGCTACAGACATCTAGGGTTGTTAAGTGTCCACTCCTATTAAATACATTGCAGCTAGTTGTGAGACTTACCAAATGATGCTGCCAATGCCCATAGTAACATCCTGCACTGCTGCAAGCTGTTCCGCTAACGTCACTAGCTAGCTAGCAACATTTTCATAAATGATAGTTGAGCTTGCTGTGGTTTTTGACTATCTGGATAGCTAGCCCACCTTTTTTTGTCAATTTATTGTTCATGCCATGTTACCTGGCTAGTAGCCCAGTTGGTAGAGCATGGCGCTTGCAACGCCAGGGTTGTGGGTTCGATTCCCACGGGGGTCAGTATGAAAAATGTATGCACTAACTGTAAGTCGCTCTGGATAAGAGCGTCTGCTAAATGACTAAAATGTAAATGTTGTCTCGAACAGGATAGCCTTCTAAAAAGGCACTTCTTTATTGTCAAAATGAAAACATTCTCAATGAGGCTACTTACATGCATTGTAATCTGGGCTGCCTGTCAGACGAACCATTCAAGTGATGTCATTGATGACACGTTATCAAGATGGTGGCACACATTTACATTTTAGTCATTTAGCAGACGCTCTTATCCAAAGCGACTTACAGTTAGTGAGTGCATACATTTTTCATACTGACCCCCGTGGGAATCGAACCCACAACCCTGGCGTTGCAAACGCCATGCTCTACCAACTGAGCTACATCCCTGCCGGCCATTTCCTCCCCTCCCCTACCCTGGACGATGCTGGGCCAATTGTGCGCCGCCCCATGGGTCTCCCGGGTCACGGCCGGCTACGACAGACCCTGGATTCGAACCAGGATCTCTAGTGGCACAGCTAGCACTGCGATGCAGTGCCTTAGACCACTGCGCCACTCGGGAGACACACAGTAGTCAGATGAGGCTACTTTTTTTTTTTTTACATAAATATGAGTTTTCAGCTGTTTTAAGGGTAGGAACATGCTTCTTTATCACATTTGGTTATCAAAATCACCTTAACTTCAGTTAATCTTTAAACGGCACCGACCGCCACTAGTACACACAGTCATGCTTGCAAAACGGCATACATTCAAATGAAGTGAGTTAACAACTAAAGTGTGTTTGATTATTCCCATTCTGATCTATTTATGTATGTTGAGTGACAGCTCAACTTCTTCTCTCCTCCAGGTTAAGGTTCAAAGTGGTCATTGGGATCCTCTCAGGAATCACCACAGTACTGGCCTTCATCAAACCTGCCATCAACGCCATCTCTCTAATGAGCCTGGGCATCCCCTGCACCGCCTTGCTCATAACCGAGATCAAGAGGTCAGAGCAAATGCAGCATTGTCACTTCATTTGATTTTAAGTCAGAAATTAGGCAGTGGGCTGGTTAAAAAAATGAATAGCTGGCCATAGTTTGAATGAGCCTGCAATCAACATTTCAATTATAAACGCTCTGTAAATGTATGTGTGTTGTCTGTAGGTGTGAAAACCTGCGTGTGTTTAAGCTGGGTCTGCTCACTGGGATGTGGTGGACACTGGCACTGCTCTGCTGGATCAGTGACAGGATCTTCTGTGATATGTGGTCCTCTGTCAACTTCCCCTATTTGCACTGTGTATGGTAAGTCCAATTCTAGTACTATTACATGGAAAGTGTCATGCCAGGGGTCTTAAAAATTTTTGGCCTGCCACATGATTTAATCCGCCCCCACTTGTGTGATTAACCCCTGATTAACCCCTCTCTATTTCCGTAGGCACATACTCATCTGCTTGGCTTCCTACCTTGGGTGCGTGTGCTTCGCCTACTTCGACGCAGCCTCCGAGGCCCCAGAGCAGGGCCCCGTGGTCATGTTCTGGCCCAGTGAAAAGTGGGCCTTCATTGGGGTGCCCTACGTCACTCTTCTGTGTGTCCAGAAGAAGCATTCTGTCAAAGTGACATAACCAGTGCAAGTCTCACCGATGAACCAGCGTACTTAGAATTACTGTCATCTTTACAAAAACAAGATCTGCAAAACTCATAGGGTTGTGGTAAGCTTTTCCTGCCACATTTCTTTAAAATAAGCTTGCTAAGAATGTTGATAATGGGATCTTTAGAGAGACCCCTTTTTCTCTTTTGAACAGTGTTCAATGATAGGAATGTCTTGGGATCAAGTGTCCCGATCATTTCCTGGCTATATAAAACTCAATGATAATCTAGAGGGAAGACCTACATAGATAAGGGTAACCTTACCCTAATAGTTGCAGTCTCTCACTCGCTCCTTATCCAGTATTATCACATAAGTCAGCTAGCATTAGTATCAGTGCTGCTAGCTCCTGATGATCCATTTTCGCAATTCACTCTCGACTCCCCATGCACACCAAAGTTTGTCAAAAAATGAAGAAAGGATTGCATTGACCCCTATTGAATTAATTTTTCAATGTCTCTGAAGTCAGACTTTTCTAGTTTTATCCATTACATTGTTATACTCACTCATTTGACTTATACACTGAGTGTACAAAACATTAAGAACACCTGCTCTTTCCATGACATAGACTGACCAGGTGAATCCAGGTGAAAGATATGATCCCTTATTGATGTCACTTGTTAAAGCCACTTCAATCAGTGTAGATGAAGGGGTGGAGAGAGGTTAAAGACGGATTTTTAAGCCTTGAGACAATTGAGATATGGATTGTATATGTGTGCCATCCAGAGGGTGAATTGGTAAAACAAAATATTTACCGTAAGTGCCTTTGAAAAGGGTATGGTAGTAGGTGCCAGGCGCACTGGTTTGTTTCAAGAACTGCAACGCTGCTGGGTTTTTCACACTCAACAGTTTCCCATGTGTATCATCAATGGTCCACCACCCAAAGGACATCCAGCGAACTTGACACAACTGTGAGAAGCATTGAAGTCAACATGGGCCACCATCCCTGTGGAACGCTTTCGACACCTTGCCCCGATGAATTGAGGCTGTTCTCAGGGCAAAAGGTGTTCCTAATGTTTGGTATACTCAGTGTATAGTATACATATAGCCTATATCAGGTTTTCACAAACTCATCGTCAAGCTTTGATTATTTGAATCAGCTGTGTAGTGCTAAGGCAAAAACCAAAACGTGCACCCAGGGTGGGCCCCAGGACCGAGTTTGGGAAACCCTGGCCTATATTATTAACATGTATATAGGTAACATAACCATAACATTTGCAGTGTTATTTTAGCCAGTATTATTACTGTTAAATGTTATATTTCTTATTTCAAGGGAAATGTTTAGTATCTATAGTATTCTAAAGTATTAAATCTCAGTGTTGTCTGGTTACTGTGATAAATTGCATGCCCCTAGTTAAATGTTCACTGATGAAGAGTTTATGCAAGAATTTGTGCTCCAAAAGTATTTTGCAAGGTGGGCCATTCTGAAAAGAGACTAAACACTAAAAAGAAAATATGATCATGTTTAGTATGGGATATGAAGTACTGTCCCTGACAACGGCCATCGTAGGCATATGGCTGTGGCCAAACACATGACAGTGCCAATATGGTGATAATATGTTACATTTCAGAAAGTGCCATTTATTTTCCTATTATAACCGATTTAATCATTTTGTAGGTTAATATAATGTGTGTTTGTAAACAAAGATGGAAGAATTTCTCATGATGTTTTACATTCACATTTTATTTTGTGTAATAAAACTGTTCAACATTTACTAAAACCTTTGTCAATGGAGTGTTTTGTCCCTAGAGTGGATTAACTATATGAAGGATTTTTACTTCGTTTGGGAATAACTGTACGTTGTGGAAAATTCAGATAGAAATATATTATGTACATGCCTCTCTGACGTGGAATCACGTCAGCTCTATTCATGACTATTTCTATCTGCAACGTAACACATCGTTAGCCCACTGAGCGTGGCCTGGGTCTTAGCCTTCAGGAGGACCTGTGGAGAGGAGGGGGTTAATGGCCAATGTGATTATCCAGATCTTGTGATCCAGAGCTGCCCCATGAATGAGTGTCTTTTATGTGCTGTAAGCAGACTGAATCTCAGCTGGTAGACCTGCCTGAAAACCACCCCACTACACATCTTGGTGAGTTGGACCAAATGTAATGATTATTTGTATAATATGTTTATAATGTGCTGTATGTTTTGTTTGTGAATGCATGTTTGTCTGTTTAAGTTGACCTGTTTTATATTAATGTTCCTATGTATCTCTATCTTCTTGAACGATGTAGATTGTTTTTTAAGAGTTTCTGACTATACAAGCATCGTTTTTTTTTTATATAATGTTTTCAATGGCAAGATTTATAGATGTTTGTAGAACCATGACAAGGTGGATCTGCCCTGATTACCTTCAGTTGACATTAAATGCACAAAACATTTACCAGACACTCTTATCCAGAGTGACTTACATGATAAATTAGGGTTAAGTGCCTTTCTCAAGGGCACATCGGAAGATTTCTCATCTAGTTGGCTTGGGTATTCGAACCAGCGACTTTTCGGTTACTGGCACAAGGCTCTTAACCACTAGGCTACCTGCTGCTGAGTAAATTACATGCGCAGGCATTTGGTCTGGTTTTCTAACTAACACAGTGGATCATTTTTAGCATTTTTTGACCTCCAATACCTCAGCCTGGATCTAAGGGTGAAATTACTATAATAGCACATGAGAACATGCACTGCTGTTGACCTACTGTATGCTACAAATAAAGGTCATTAGGTGAACTGAATGAAAACTGAATCACCTCGGTGACGGTAAACTACTGTATTTAATTCCTCTAGCCAGAACACACAGTGGGGAGAACAAGTATTTGATACACTGCCGATTTTGCAGGTTTTCCTACTTACAAAGCATGTAGAGGGCTGTAATTTTTATCATAGGTACACTTCAACCGTGAGAGACGGAATCTAAAACAAAAATCCAGAAAATCACATTGTATGATTTTTAAGTAATTAATTTGCATTTTATTGTATGACATAAGTATTTGATACATCAGAAAAGCAGAACTTAATATTTGGTACAGAAACCTTTGTTTGCAATTACAGAGATCATACGTTTCCTGTAGGTCTTGACCAGGTTTGCACACACTGCAGCAGGGATTTTGGCCCACTCCTCCATACAGACCTTCTCCAGATCCTTCAGATTTCGGGGCTGTCGCTGGGCAATATGGACTTTCAGCTCCCTCCAAAGATTTTCTATTGGGTTCAGGTCTGGAGACTGGCTAGGCCACTCCAGGACCTTGAGATGCTTCTTACGGAGCCACTCCTTAGTTGCCCTGGCTGTGTGTTTCGGGTCGTTGTCATGCTGGAAGACCCAGCCACGACCCATCTTCAATGCTCTTACTGAGGGAAGGAGGTTGTTGGCCAAGATCTCGCGATACATCGCCCCATCCATCCTCCCCTCAATACGGTGCAGTCGTCCTGTCCCCTTTGCAGAAAAGCATCCCCAAAGAATGATGTTTCCACCTCCATGCTTCACGGTTGGGATGGTGTTCTTGGGGTTGTACTCATCCTTCTTCTTCCTCCAAACACGGCGAGTGGAGTTTAGACCAAAAAGCTCTATTTTTGTCTCATCAGACCACATGACCTTCTCCCATTCCTCCTCTGGATCATCCAGATGGTCATTGGCAAACCAGACGGGCCTGGACATGCGCTGGCTTGAGCAGGGGGACCTTGCGTGCGCTGCAGGATTTTAATCCATGACGACGTAGTGTGTTACTAATGGTTTTCTTTGAGACTGTGGTCCCAGCTCTATTCAGGTCATTGACCAGGTCCTGCCGTGTAGTTCTGAGCTGATCCCTCACCTTCCTCATGATCATTGATGCCCCACGAGGTGAGATCTTGCATGGAGCCCCAGACCGAGGGTGATTGACCATCATCTTGAACTTCTTCCATTTTCTAATAATTGCGCCAACAGTTGTTGCCTTCTCACCAAGCTGCTTGCCTATTGTCCTGTAGCCCATCCCAGCCTTGTGCAGGTCTACAATTTTATCCCTGATGTCCTTACACAGCTCTCTGGTCTTGGCCATTGTGGAGAGGTTGGAGTCTGTTTGATTGAGTGTGTGGACAGGTGTCTTTTATACAGGTAACGAGTTCAAACAGGTGCAGTTAATGCAGGTAATGAGTGGAGAACAGGAGGGCTTCTTAAAGAAAAACTAACAGGTCTGTGAGAGCCGGAATTCTTACTGGTTGGTAGGTGATCAAATACTTATGTCATGCAATAAAATGCAAATTAATTACTTAAAAATCACACAATGTGATTTCTGGATTTTTGTTTTAGATTCCATCTCTCACAGTTGAAGTGTACCTATGATAAAAATTACAGACCTCTACATGCTTTGTAAGTAGGAAAACCTGCAAAATCGTCAGTGTATCAAATACTTGTTCTCCCCACTGTATTTGGATTCTGTTAGTGTCGTTTTTTGACCGATGCTGTTCTTCACTCATGTCAACATTCCAAAATTCAAGATGTATCAACACGTCTCAAAGGTGAAAAATTAGGGGAAATTGTTGAGATATTCAATGATGGTGCTGAAAGGCTACTGCAGCTGCTGGTTTCAATTCAATCCCTCTGATCAGGGACTGATTCAAATCTAAAACCAAATACTAATTGAAATAATTTCAAATACTTTAGCTGTACTTGATTGAGCTTGCCTGCTGCAATGGAACCAATATAAATGTCCCAAAAGTGCAAACCCCACCCACATGGCACTCCAGGCAGGCTGAAGCAAACACAAAGTACTTGAAAGATTTCAAATAGTATTTGAACCCAGGTTTGCCTGGGTAATACATTATATGACCTGGTCAGTCAATTATATGACCTGTACTATTCAGAAAACGTTTGGGTCCGCGATTAGCATTTTGGATTCTTGTTTATGTTTAACTGCTAGAAAAGGGTTTTGGTAGTCAGTACTCTCAATAACTAAACTATTATGCCCTGGTTGTTTTGATTTGAGGGTGGATATCAGGGATTACGGCGCCATGTATCTGAATCCCCTGGTAATCTGGCCAGTTGGCACCGAGGAGTGAGGTGCTTGGAGGCTGTAGCTCGGCCTCTTAGCCATGGAGACAGAGGGGCCACCTGCTGCACCAGGCCAGTCTGGCCAGCCCGGTCAGCCAGGCCCGGTGCTGGGGCTTCGGAGTCTCTCCTTTGCCTACCAGGGCTTGCTAGAGATCCCCTACGAAGTCATACTAGCCCAGCAACACACCCTGGAAGTGTTGGACCTTAGCTACAACCTGCTGGAGGAGTATCCTTCTGTTATGAGCCGTGTACACAGACAATATATACACACATATTACACGCATGCGTCACACACACACACTTGTAGTCATGCACATACACACACCAGAGATGGAAAACCACACTGTTGAAGACACATGCATACACAAGCAACACAAACACATCTCTCTCTCACACTAAGAAATATGAGACAGGGTGCAACAGGGTTGGGGTCAATTCCATTTAAATTCCAGTCAATTCAGGAAGTACAGTGGGGAAAAAAAGTATTTAGTCAGCCACCAAATGTGCAAGTTCTCCCACTTAAAAAGATGAGAGAGGCCTGTAATTTTCATCATAGGTACACGTCAACTATGACAGACAAATTGAGAAAAAAATATCCAGAAAATCACATTGTAGGATTTTTAATGAATTTATTTGCAAATTATGGTGGAAAATAAGTATTTGGCCACCTACAAACAAGCAAGATTTCTGGCTCTCACAGACCTGTAACTTCTTCTTTAAGAGGCTCCTCTGTCCTCCACTCGTTACCTGTATTAATGGCAGCTGTTTGAACTTGTTATCAGTATAAAAGACACCTGTCCACAACCTCAAACAGTCACACTCCAAACTCCACTATGGCCAAGACCAAAGAGCTGTCAAAGGACACCAGAAACAAAATTGTAGACCTGCACCAGGCTGGGAAGACTGAATCTGCAATAGGTAAGCAGCTTGGTTTGAAGAAATCAACTGTGGGAGCAATTATTAGGAAATGGAAGACATACAAGACCACTGATAATCTCCCTCGATCTGGGGCTCCACGCAAGAACTCACCCCGTGGGGTCAAAATGATCACAAGAACGGTGAGCAAAAATCCCAGAACCACACGGGGGGACCTAGTGAATGACCTGCAGAGAGCTGGGACCAAAGTAACAAAGCCTACCATCAGTAACACACTACGCCGCCAGGGACTCAAATCCTGCAGTGCCAGATGTGTCCCCCTGCTTAAGCCAGTACATGTCCAGACCCGTCTGAAGTTTGCTAGAGTGCATTTGGATGATCCAGAAGAGGATTGGGAGAATGTCATATGGTCAGATGAAACCAAAATAGAACATTTTGGTAAAAACTCAACTCGTCGTGTTTGGAGGACAAAGAATGCTGAGTTGCATCCAAAGAACACCATACCTACTGTGAAGCATGGGGGTGGAAACATCATGCTTTGGGGATGTTTTTCTGCAAAGGGACCAGGACGACTGATCCGTGTAAAGTAAAGAATGAATGGGGCCATGTATCGTGAGATTTTGAGTAAAAACCTCCTTCCATCAGCAAGGGCATTGAAGATGAAACGTGGCTGGGTCTTTCAGCATGACAATGATCCCAAACACACCGCCCGGGCAACGAAGGAGTGGCTTCGTACGAAGCATTTCAAGGTCCTGGAGTGGCCTAGCCAGTCTCCAGATCTCAACCCCATAGAAAATCTTTGGGGGGAGTTGAAAGTCCGTGTTGCCCAGCGACAGCCCCAAAACATCACTGCTCTAGAGGAGATCTGCATGGAGGAATGGGCCAAAATACCAGCAACAGTGTGTGAAAACCTTGTGAAGACTTACAGAAAACGTTTGACCTGTGTCATTGCCAACAAAGGGTATATAACAAAGTATTGAGAAACTTTTGTTATTGACCAAATACTTATTTTCCACCATAATTTGCAAATAAATTCATAAAAAATCCTACAATGTGATTTTCTGGATTTTTTTTCCTCATTTTGTCTGTCATAGTTGACGTGTACCTATGATGAAAATTACAGGCCTCTCATCTTTTTAAGTGGGAGAACTTGCACAATTGCAATTCCAATTCTCGTCAATGCTTTTCAATAAGGAAAATTTGAAATTTGAATGTGTTTTACTTTCTGAATTGACTGGAATTTAAATGGAATTTACCCCAATCCTGACATGCAATGAACATGCCACACATTCACAAAAACAGTCTCCCTGGCAATGTTTCTCCTTCACTCCGCTGCCAACGGAGCCCAGCTCTCCTGGGTGAACTGGAGCAGCTCAGCACTCTGATCCTGGACTGCAACAGCTACTCGTCCCACGTCAAGTTCCCCTACATGCCTAGTGTCACCACCGTGTGGATCAACAAGAACAAGATCAGCAACCTGCCCATCTTCGTGGAGGAGATCCGCTGCAAGTTTCCCAACATCAAGTAAGAATGGCTTTTACTGAGGCCATTGGGGCATTGTGTGTGTGTGTGTGTGTGTGCGCGTTTGCTTGGGTGTCATTTTGTTTCTGTTGAAGCCAACTTCTTTGGTGTTCAGTACGGTGCAAGATTGTGGAGCATTGAAGAGGCATGTTAATACAATGTACACCATACCACAAAGACCATTTTAAGTGTCGCTGTCTGACCTCTGGATGTTTCTACTTCATTTAGGATCCTCAGCATGATGAACAACGAGGCAGCACCCAGCTACTTCAATGGAGGGAGTCTGCCCCAGTACATAGACTACAGGTGAGCTTGAGTGAACACAGCTGATACACTAAAGCTGCACCTGTGTCTTTTTTTTGATTTAGATGAGAATGATGTATTGTGACACGGTAACAGGAGCATGATATGATTCTATAACTCTAAATAAGTTACAGAGTTGGTTCCAGTCATAAGCTAATGTACAGCGTGACACACTGTCAAAGAAGATTAATTTTCCTATATACCATATTTGTCTTACTGTCCCTCATCAGTGTGTTCTGACATTATTCCTAGTACGATTAAACACTGATGTCATTTAAGCTCAAACTGCAACACAATGATGTCATTCAAAGCACTGAAATGACCAACCTTTTCCTCCTCTGGTCCACACAGGCAGTATGTGATCAGTCAGATCCCAAGCCTGAAGATCCTGGATGACACTGAGGTTCTGGGGAAAGAGAGAGCGCTGGCTAAGAAGACCTATAGGATGCAGAGGACCAGAGAAGGCAGCAAAAGGAGGAAGGAGCTCCATCGTTGAACCCTCCTTAATACTGCCTCCTATAGAGCTGAATCGAAGACTTATCAAGATGAGCAAATAATCCATTCTAGAGATAGATGACTAGTTCAAGGCAAGCTAGCACCAGTTGCAAATATATTGTCAACATGTTATTTGTTCAAATGAAAATGGGATACTTTTTGTTATGATTTTCTATGGACATGGGGAATTTCCCTTATCATTAAAGAGATGAAGGGAAGATATTCCATTTGAATGGTGAACGAAGATGTTTAGCAAAAATAAATAATTCCATGTCACACGCAAACATCATTTTGTCATTATTTGTATGTTACATATGTCCAATTGGCAAGAGAAGAGCTTAATTAGGCCTATGAGATATCAAATTACCAGTGTTGGGTAGAGTACTGACGGATCCGTCAAAATGACCTTTGAAAAGTCATAACTCAGAGAGAGAGAGTGACAACATGTGGCATAAACTTGACAGGCATGGTTGAGAAATTGATTGTTTCCTCATACAGTGAATGTCCTGTTATCTATTTGAAAAAGTATGTTTAAATCTTTATCTTGTGGCATTAGAGATTAAGACATAAACTGTAATAAAAAAAAAGTGATACACAGCACTGTTCTGTTGTGTTTTTAAATGGATGTTAGACCTACCATGTGATATGATACAATCTATTGTGTATTGTGTAGGTAAAAAATTCTGTCAGACATTAACTATCAAGGTATAAAGGTGACCTAGAGTATTTTAATGCACATTATAAAAACGGTTGGCTGGTATGCCCTCACCCATATGAGCGGTCGGCTGTGAATGCCCTCACCCGCTAACACAATTATGCTGACTGTGATTTGGGTTCTGACCCTCCACAGGATGTCCGGTAAGAACAATGCTGATGCTTCTCTTTTCAGGGTTTTTATTTCCTTTTCCTCAACACACATTAAGCACACACACACTTTTGGTCATATAACATGAATCTTGACTGGGAGTGAATCTTGGTGGAATAGTACTTGTGTTGTTAGGAATGAATTGTGGTTATTTCGATGCACCCACCACATTCAGGTATTCTTGTTACTGTCCAAAATAAAAATAGTCCTCAGAAATGTGTATCTTCTTTCTTCGGACAACGATAACACTGACCTGAGTGGGTGGGTGCAGTGTCCAGATGTGCCTTTCCAAGCGCTCTGATTGCTTGGGAATGACAAGGCTATGATGGGTGATGGATAACTAAGGTAGGCTAAACAGCCAAACTAACGGCACTCAAGGGAAACTGAAGGGACTGTGAGGGAGATTTAGGTAGACAGGAGGGGAGCAGGACAGTCTTTTTTTTACACACATTAATGAAGAATCAGTAGGGCCTATGCTTGTTTACACATTGACATTTATTGGATTCTAAGCAGTGGTAGGTCAGAAAAACACCTGCCTATCAACATTATTTGAAGAAGATGTTATCAACCATACTATTAACCATTCAGAAGAAGAAGAAAAACTGTCACTCTACTCACCCCCTCACTGCTAGGACTTATCAAAGTGGACTCAGGGCTTGTAGCCTTGGACCAATGATTTATATATACACTAGATGAGTTTTGGGGGGACGCTGTGTTGTAGCCAAATCCCCCACCATTGTACAAAATATTTTGGAAGCTATAGAACTGCATATATTAATGTCTACACTAGTTTTTGCCACAATTATTCTATTACAGACACCTTAATGCATACTTTTACATTATATTATGTGAGCTAAACAATTGTTTTTAAAACAGTATAGTTTTTAGAGATTACTAATGTTACTCTCCCAACTACAGCATCAAAATACTGAAATATTTTTTACCGTATCACGTGCACAGACGCACCTGCGAAGGTGGTCCGACCAATGATGCGCATAAACCCTGGATGACTGTCAGGGAGCACAGTATTGAAGCCACCATGCAGCCATCTTGGTACTCCTCCTCAATTGTAAAAAAAAAAAAGATGGAAGCTATAGAAATGTATTTATTAATGTCACGTTTATTCTATTAAAGACACTTTAATGCATACTTTTAAATGATATGATGTAAGCTAAACATACAAATAAAAACATTTTCTTTCAAGTAATTTTTTTAAGAGAGTACTAATGTTACTGGCCCCACTACAACAACAAAAATACATGTAATTTTGTCCTTGAAACATTAGGGAGTGTCATATGGCCGACCCGTGGCTTCAAAGCCGCTCAATGGCCAATTCATAGCGTTAGCGATTCAGGGTTTATATACGTCATTGTGTCTGACTAGCTAGCTACCAGAACAACATTAGCTACACTTCAGCCGTACAGAGAAGAAAAGTGGTATGTGTGACTGTTTTTTGCAATTATTTTTAATCTTGACCATGCTTTCAAAGTAAATTTACTGCATTTAAGGGCAAAGTGCTGTGACTCAGCATAACTACTTATAATAGCCGGTGACGTTGATTGCTTTTCAAAGCTAGCAAGATACGCTAGCCAGCTAGCTAAATCAACTAGCTAGCTAGCGAACTAACTAACTAACTAACTAGTTTAGCCAGTCGTAGTTATAGTAATCCGCTGTTAGAAATCCCAAAATGTCTCTCTCTCTCTCTATTCTCATGTTTAACACTAGAACCGAACAAAGCCTGTTGTTAGCAGTGTCTTGTGTGGGAGACTGTCAGTTCAGGACCCAATCTTGGTCCCAATGGGCTAGGCTTTTATCTTGGAGTTGAGTTTAGTCGGATACTATTTCCTGATTGCCTCAAAGCTAGTTTTATCAACTTCTCAGTCAAGTATGACTGGCTTAGATATCTTGTAACAAATAACAGACCTAACATCCACCTGTAAAATCCAACCCATAATAGAATCTCATTCTATTTCCCATTCTAATATAATAAAAAATCCTGTTCCAGACACTACGAGGATATATCTTGGGATAACCTTTAGTTAACCAATTTACCATTTACACGAACATTTAACATATGCTTACTTGAGAAAATGTATGCCCCAGGAGATCAGCACAATGGAGAATGTAGAGTTATATTTCAAAATCTGGGTATAAGTTAATGGAGACTGTAACAGGGCAGTCCTTGGAAAGCTGAGAGAGTACATTGCGGCACAGGGTGTTCTTACGTCATCATGAGTTGACTGTTTTTCAACCTGTGTATTCACGTGTCATTCAATTCCATTTGTCCTCAAAGTCCCAAGAGTGCTACAAAAATGCACTTTCTTATCAGAGTTCCCCTTTGACACAGAGAAATATGAGGACATGTATTAACCTTGGGTACCCTTACATCACAAACACTCTGTTTGACATCTGATTACACATTCATAGAGGCTGATGTTGTTTGCGGATTTCACTGTCTGTTCAATCTTGGCAGAGGATCTTCATTTTTAGGCAATAGGCTTATGCTAATACTTAACTTCAAGCCTATTCCTATCAAGCCCGATTTGTAGGCTATTTGGTTGCAGTTTCCTGAGTATAAAAAAGGATGTTAGATAGGGATTGGTAGTGAATTAGTTCAAACCTCAGTTTGAACTATACCAACGTATTTTTCCACTTATTGAGTGATTAGCTTCATTTAAGACGCAGCCGAGGATAGTAGTATTCCAGAAATATTGTATTTTGGAACACCAGAGTAGGCTAATTCACAGGTCTGTTATACCCAGCATTTATCTGGAATCGTACTTCCGTGTCTGTCTGTGCTGAAACTTCCTTGACCTAACAGGTTCTCCCGTAAAATATAAAAAGCAGTAAGTAGCTATTTTTTCACCTACACACAGGAGGAACCCGAAAGACCAGACTACTGGATTTCTTTGCATTTTGGTTGTTACAAGTTCAAAAAAAAAAAAAATATTTCGCGTCTGCTCAGGTCACTTGCCCTGGGTAATAGGGCAACCCTTAATGTCAATCCCTAAGAAGTTGCCACTGTTGTAGTTTTTGATGCTGAACCTTGAATTGTTTCCTCCAGGTAACCCCAGGTGTGTGTGTGAGAGAGGGAGAAAGTCTACAGCCATGAGTAATCCTTTTGCACACATAGTTGAGGCTCTGGACCCAAACAACCCCGACCACAAGTTCTACAACCTCTCAAAGCTTGAAGACCCCAGATATGGTAGGATTTCAAAGTACCATAACCACTTTGGTAATTGTTGGTGTGCATGGTTGGTGTACAAGGCTAAATTCAGGAAATGTACTGACATTTTGTTAATTTCAGTAAATGCTCAAGCTAGATTTATTCTGATTCATGAATTACATTTCAGTGAATTTTTGCACTTTCATGATTTTTTTACTTCAACCCTGATGGTTGATATGAAATGCTTCCCTCCTCCTGCAGACCGTCTGCCATTCTCCATCCGTGTGCTGCTTGAGTCGGCTGTGAGGAACTGTGATGGGTTCTTGGTGAAGCAGTCAGACGTGGAGAGCATCCTGAACTGGAAGCAGACCCAGACTCAAAGCGTGGAGGTGCCGTTCAGACCTGCCAGGGTCATCCTACAGGACTTCACGTGAGTCTGACCACATGGTGTATCTATTCTACAGGTGTGCTCATGTGAAATCTTTAATGGTAAAATATGCAGTGGTAATATCTGTATTATAAACTGGGAGAAGCTGATCGGGAGGTATCCAAATTGAGGTGGCTTTTCTTTCTCTTTAAGGGGTTGCTCTGAATCGCGAACTGATTTATATTCTAACTTGTGTCCCGTCTGTCTCTCTCCCCTTGCAGTGGAGTGCCTGCAGTAGTGGACTTTGCTGCGATGCGCGACGCCGTAAAGAAGCTGGGGGGAGATCCAGAGAACATCAACCCAGTCTGTCCAGTGGACCTTGTCATCGATCATTCCATCCAGGTGGACTTCAACAAGGAGTAAGTCTGGGGGGGGGGGGGGTCAGATTTATCAAAGGGTTGTGTGTGTGTGGGGGGGGGGGGGGGGGGGTCAATGAAAGTAGGGCTGAACGTCATAATTCGGTGAATTTCCATTCAGGAGGAATTGTAGTGGATTATAATTGAATGAATACTGGTAATTTCAGTGACAACTGCTATACATAGGCTAATTGGTACCTTTTACTACATATTTATGAAGCAAACAAAGGCCTCTGTGTAAGTACAGAGTGGTGTGTTTAGTGGACTTTGCTCTTAAGAGACTTAGTGGAGCCTGTAGATTTCGACATTACTGTAGACCACCAGTCGTCATAATGTTGCATAACGCTGAAAATAATGACATCTACATTGTGACCATGCTGAGTCTCCAAGCTGACATTGTTGTAAATATGAACTGCTATTTTGGCCCGAGAGGTGTAAAACTATAAAGCAAAATATTCCAAATTCCCGACACTGTTACTTACAGGTCATCATTTTGTGCTCATTCTACTTTCAAGTAACCATATTAGGAGATTGCATTATGACGTTTGTGTAATTTTCAGTAGTCCATTGTTGATATAGTCCCAAAATGTTTAGCATGTCAGCAATCAAGTTTTCAAGACATGTAACTTTCAAAAAACAGAAATCAGGCCCATATTATGCATTTTGTATCATATGATGCAAAACGCATCCTACGGGCCAGATTTCTGTATTTTGAAAGTTACATATCTTGATTGCTGAAATACTCCTCAACTCCTTTCCTTGAAGTTGTACTATTATGAGAACTGATTACGACAAATGTGTTAAAGAAATTCAGATTGAGTCAGGCCTGTAATTACACTTCAAAAACAGTTTACATTTTTCTTCTCCCAGGTCTGACAGCCTCCAGAAAAACCAGGACTTGGAGTTTGACAGAAACAGAGAGCGATTTGAGTTCTTAAAGGTATCCAAACCCTTTGTCTACCATTCAAAACCTGTAGTTCAACTCATAAGCCTCTCATAAAGGCTTATGGGCCACACAATGTATAACACACATGGCCCTCTCTCAATCATAGCAATAACAATATCTTGTATAAAACCCATAAGCCTCACTAAACTATTGATCTTGATCTCCCTCCCGTTCAACAGTGGGGCTCCAAAGCATTACGGAACATGCGTATCATTCCCCCCGGTTCGGGGATTGTGCACCAGGTCAACCTGGAGTACCTGGCCAGGGTGGTGTTTGACCAGGACGGTTACTACTACCCTGACAGCCTGGTGGGCACTGACTCCCACACCACCATGATCAACGGTCTGGGCGTGTTGGGCTGGGGTAATGACTAGCTTGGATTATGTACACTGTTAAAAAAGATAAATGGGACAGACTCAAATAATTTGCTAATGGCGTTAAAGGGATAGTTCACCCAAATTACAAAATTACTGTTTTTTTTTGGTTCCAAATGGACAATACTTAGCTACCAATAAACCAAACCCCAAATGTAGTTGAGCAAATATGAGCTATCTAGCCTTGCTACTGGATGTGCCCAGAGCTGGAATAAATCCTGTCGGACATGTTTGTCTGTAGGTGTGGGCGGGATCGAGGCGGAGGCCGTCATGCTGGGCCAACCAATCAGCATGGTGCTCCCCGAAGTCATCGGCTACAGGCTACAGGGCACCCCCAACAAGTTAATCACCTCCACCGACATCGTCCTCACCGTCACTAAGGTAACTGGTTACACGGTTTGCATGACTATGTGGCCACTTTTTATCTATGGACATCTCTTTTGGACAAATCTGTCTAATCAATATAGCTCAAGGCATGAAATGATTCAACAAAGTAGCCCTGTCAATGCAATTCATTTGGAGAATGGTGTTGATTTGATACTTGGAAAAACTGACTTGCTCTAAGGGGATAGAAAAATGACAACAGTTTCATTCCACCAGTGTATGTCATATAGAACCGCTGTTTGTCTGAGTGTCCCATGCTCTCCCTCTGTCCACAGCACCTGCGCCAGGTCGGCGTCGTGGGGAAGTTTGTGGAGTTCTTCGGCCCAGGTGTGGAAGCCCTGTCCATTGCCGATCGAGCCACCATCGCCAACATGTGCCCAGAGTACGGCGCCACTGCAGCTTTTTTCCCTGTGGACCACATCAGTGTTCAGTATCTAAAGCAGACAGGTGAGATATCCACACTAATGCACATGAGCACCACTTATCTATATTTACAATGTGCATTTCTGATTCCGATGGAAAGCAATACAGATATTACATCGGCCGCTTTTTAAATTGCAAACTTTCAAATAGCCTTTGAATGTTACACCACCTACTTAGCTTAATAACTTTTCTCCTTTTGTAACTGCAAAAACTTTTCTGAATACATTTTAAATGTAAAAAGGGGCTGACAATAGTAGTATTAAAAACTGAGGGAACTGTAGATGTAGCTGTTACCTTTCGTGGCAAAGTCAAATAATTCACCTCATGTCTGGATTCTTATAATAATATAATAATAATATGCCAATTAGCAGACGCTTTTATCCAAAGCGACTTACAGTCGTGCGTGCATACATTTTTTTGTGTATGGGTGGTCCCGGGGATCGAACCCACTACCTTGGCGTTACAAGCGCCGTGCTCTACCAGCTGAGCTACAGAGGACCTCTTCATTTTCTTTTTTCCTCATCCCCCTTTCCCCTGCTCCCTCTGCTCAGGGAGAGATGCTGAGAAGCTGGATTACATCACCAGGTATCTGAAAGCAGTCGCCATGTTCAGAGACTACAACAACTCCTGCCAGGACCCCGATTTCACCCAGGTACTCGATTCCACACTGGATCTTTTTCAAACCCCTTTGGAAATTAGGACTTGTAGTTTCTGGACGTATTTGATTCAAGATTGTCAGGCATGCTAGACTAGTTATGGAAACTTTGGGAAGTCATTCAGTTTTGAAAAATGATTTGACAAAGTGTATGGCTGGAATGTATTTGTAAAATGATTGGCAGGTCTCCCGTTTTAATCTCCTCCTTTTGCTTTCTGTCTCATTCGGATTGTCCCTCTACACCTCCTTCTCTCTCTCCATCCTATGCAGGTGCATAAGCTGGACCTTAGCACCGTGGTCCAGTGCTGCAGTGGTCCCAAGAGGCCTCAGGACAGGGTGGCTGTGTCTGACATGAAGACTGACTTTGAGGCCTGCCTGGCTGCTAAGGTAATGACAACACCCGCTTCCCACGGACATTTTGGTATCTACATGCTGATAGCATCCTGTTATCTCAAGTCCTTCCCTTTATATTTGCATGTGTGGATGAGGTGTGCACAGAGTTAGAAACCCTAGAGGTTGGTACAAAAGACTGATAACATGCAACATTTGAAAGTAGTCAACTGGTTGGGACTTCATATGGGTTAAGGAGAGATGATATAATTCCATCCAGGTCAGTAGGAGGGATCATGCTAGAGGTGAGCCCACTAGCTTTTCTAACTCTGTGGACTTGTGTCATTGCAGCAAGGCTTCAAGGGTTTCCAGGTGACTCCGGAGCGTCACCACGTGAAGGTTCCATTCCAGTACAATGACAAGGAGTACAGCCTCTCCCACGGCTCGGTGGTCATCGCTGCCATCACCAGTTGCACCAACACCAGCAACCCCTCTGTTATGCTGGGGGCTGGTACGTATCCCTCGCCCCATACCTCATACCCTGCGCTATCTGGGTTGTGTTCATTAGACACCAAACAGGGAGGGACTACCTGGACTCCAAAAATAAACTTGAATTTACGTTTTCTGTTGCAAAAACGTTTTCTAAAGTTTTCCGTTACGTGCCCCAATGAACACGCCCCAGCTATCAGCGGATGTAATTTGACTAATATCTGGGAAGTTGCTCAGTCAATAAGGTTGAATTGGTTCTGCGTTGCTTTTCAGGTCTCCTGGCGAAGAAGGCCATCGAGGCTGGTCTGAGCATGAAGCCCTACATCAAGACCAGTCTGTCGCCCGGCAGCGGAGTGGTCACCTACTACCTAAAGAAGAGTGGCGTCATGGACTACCTCTTCCAGCTCGGGTAAGGCACTCCTTCCTGAAGACTGACTAATTATCTGGAAATGAAGGGGTACAGCTCAAAAGTTTAACTTTAACCGCCTTCATTTCAGGATGACGGTGTGTGATTTATTTAAGCAATAAGGCCTGAGGAGGTGTGGGATATGGCCAGTATACCACAAACCACTGAGGTGCCTTATTGCTATTATAAACTGCTTACCAAAGATAATAAACATTTTTTTTGGTCATGTTATACGATCTGATATACCACGGCTAAATGTGTATGTGACCAATAAAATGTGATTTGATCAGCATTCAGGGCTCGAACAACCCAGTTTATAACTTCCTTTTTGTTGGTATATAATGGTATTTTTTCCCCCCGTCAGGTTTGAAGTGGTGGGTTATGGCTGCATGACATGTATAGGCAACAGTGGGCCCCTCCCAGAGCCTGTGGTGGAGGCCATTACTCAGGTAACTACTAACTTTTAACATTTACACCCACACCTGGGTTGTGTTCATTAGGGCATGCAGGGGGGGGGGGGTCCAGTCCAGTCCATGTAAACCCCCCTCCTGTTTCAGTACATTTTCTTCATTTGGGTGCCTAATGAACACGACCCTGCATGGTCAATAGCTACAGCTCCTCACTCGTTCCTCTACCTTCAGGGAGATCTGGTAGCCGCTGGGATCCTATCAGGTAACAGGAACTTTGAGGGGCGTGTCCACCCCAACACACGAGCCAATTACCTGGCCTCTCCCCCCCTGGTCATTGCCTACGCTATCGCCGGAACCGTGAGGATTGACTTTGATACAGAGCCCATTGGTGAGTGTCCTCAAACCCACGCCGTGAATTGGCAATGGTTCTGTAGTTTTTCTATATAGCATTCACACCAGTGGAGGCTGTAATGGCTGGAATAAAATGAATCGAGTGGTACCGTTCCATTTATTCCATTCCCCCCCATTACAATGAGCCAATCCTCCGATTTAAAGTGACACCAGCCTTCACTGGTTCATATGAACACTGTTCTTGGAGCTCTGAAGACGTTTAAGGAGATTGGGCCGTCGGTGCTGATACTGCTTTCTGTTGTTCCTCTCTCGCCTCTGGTTTCATGGTGTAGCTCTGAACAACGAAGGGAAGGAGGTTTTCCTGAGGGACATCTGGCCCACACGGGAGGAGATCCAGGCTGTGGAGAGAGAGTTTGTCATTCCTGCTATGTTCAAAGAGGTTTATGAGAAGATTGAGGTAAACTCAGCTCTTTGGATATTAATATTCTATGATTTTCCCCTGGTTTGATTGTGTAGACAAGTTGATTAGTGGGGCTACTTTTTCAAGGTATTGGTTAGTAAATTTGTGTAGAGAGCTGTTGGTGTTGTAGTTTGATATGGGACTGTTCTACCCTGCTCCGCCCTGGCAGAAAGTGAATGAACGCTGGAACGCCCTCAACGCCCCCTCAGACAAGCTGTACACCTGGGACCCCAAGTCCACCTACATCAAGTCTCCACCCTTCTTCGATGGACTGGTACAACACACTAACCTAATGCTGTCGTTGTAATGTCTGAGTTCTTTCCCATAGGATTTCAGGTGACACTGTTTTATCTCTTAAAGGGATAGTTCAGCGAAAGTACATATTTGTTTCCAAGAAGTCTATGGACAAGGAGAGACTGCAATCAACAACTAGACACTTTTACCAACTGCTAATATTATAAAGTCATTGTCATTCATGCAATTCTGCAGAACTATCCCTTTAAACTTTCTGTGTTTTATTCAGACCAAGGAGCTACAGACCCCCAATTCCATAACTAATGCTTACGTGCTGCTGAACTTCGGCGACTCTGTGACCACGGACCACATCTCTCCTGCTGGGAACATCGCTCGAACCAGTCCTGCAGCACGCTACCTGACCAGTAGAGGGTGAGAGATGGGAGGCAGTCACTAGTTCACATTACTAATAGTCTTTTTCATACTACTGAGCTAAGCTGTACTGCACTTGCCTGGTAATACATCCCCCATGGCTGGAACCGTGCAGGAAAGGACCATGTGGAACGAAAATATCCCAACCAGCAGAGTATACATTTCTGGTCCGCATGATGGTGTGAAATTGAATGATGGGTTTTTTAGTATGTTTATGTTAGAGTGAAGTTGTTAGAGTGAAGTTGTATGAAGGGTCAAAGGTATAATCTTTATCTCTTATCCTCTGCCCTGGCAGTTTGAACCCACGTGACTTCAACTCGTACGGATCTCGGCGTGGCAACGATGCTGTAATGGCCCGAGGAACATTCGCCAACATCCGTCTCTTCAACAAGTTCCTGAACAAGCAGGCTCCGCGCACCCTGCACTTACCTTCTGATGAAACGGTAAGGCCCTGGAACAACCCATAACGTAGCAACTGTCAATAATGTCATAACCTTTTCTCTTATAATGTAATACATCTCTGGATAATGTTATAACTTATTACATCATCTGGTGGCTATTATCTTATCAGATGAGTAACATACATTTTATAACATACATTTATTATATATTTAGAGTTCTTGTATTTTGACCGCATATTAGTTTCCTTGTATGGCTGTTAAATGTACTCTGGTTGTCCACATGAATCAATGTGTGTATATATTCAGTATATTCTTGGGTTGTCTGTTTCTCTGTACAGATGGATGTGTTTGATGCTGCTGAGCGCTACCAGAAGGCTGGCCTCCCCCTCATGATCCTGGCTGGGAAGGAGTATGGATCGGGCAGCTCCAGAGACTGGGCCGCTAAAGGTCCCTTCCTCCTGGTCTCTCCTCTTATCATAACCGTGTTGTCTTTTGATATGTTATCTATTATACGTTATTACGTTATCTTTTTAACATTACCGCTTGACAATGTATGACGATGTAGATTAGAAGAATTTATGGGAATTTGGGAAAAGGGATTTGAATGCCATTGCCTGTATGATACTTTCCATCAGCTAAGATATGATTCTGCTGGGCTGTGTGGATTCTTTATTTCACTTTATTGAACAAACATTAGACAATTCAAAGTAGGGACAATGTACACAGAACCCATAAACACCAGGTGGCACCAAGACAAAGACAAAAAGTTAAGAAAATACAATTTAGATGATGCAAGGCTCTTGTATAATAATAATAATAATAATTATTATTATTATTATTTATTCAACTTGTATAGCGCTTTTCAAGGAATGTCAAAGCACATTAAGACAAGTCATTTAGAAAAGCAACATCATGAGCTGGACATTCATTAAAACGTTTATGGCTTGACTGGTCATCTGAGGGAGTTGGTCAAGCTGGGAGAGAAAGTCTGGAGACAGGCAGGCAGGAAGCAAGGTCTCATCAGGGTATCTCGCTGTCTCTGGCTTTTCCGTAGTAGAACTCAGTCAGATTAAGTTTGAGCTAAGCCACTGCAGTCTATGGACTCTGTAGTATGTAGCTAGCTACAGTGAGGGAAAAAAGTATTTGATCCCCTGCTGATTTTGTACGTTTGCCCACTGACAAAAATTATCAGTCTATAATTTTAATGGTAGGTTTATTTGAACAGTGAGAGACAGAATAACAACAAAACAATCCAGAAAAACGCATGTCAAAAATGTTATGAATTGATTTGCATTTGAATGAGGGAAATAAGTATTTGACCCATCTCAATCTGAAAGATTTCTGGCTCCCAGGTGTCTTTTATATAGGTAACGAGCTGAGATTAGGAGCACACTCTTAAAGGGAGTGCTCCTAATCTCAGTTTGTTACCTGTATAAAAGACACCTGTCCACAGAAGCAATCAATCAATCAGATTCCAAACTCCACCATGGCCAAGACCAAAGAGCTCTCCAAGGATGTCAGGGACAAGATTGTAGACCTACACAAGGCTGGAATGGGCTACAAGACCATCGCCAAGCAGCTTGGTGAGAAGGTGACAACAGTTGGTGCGATTATTCGCAAATGGAAGAAACACAAAATAACTGTCAATCTCCCTCGGCCTGGGACTCCATGCAAGATCTCACCTCTTGGAGTTGCAAAGATCATGAGAACGGTGAGGAATCAGCCCAGAACTACATGGGAGGATCTTGTCAATGATCTCAAGGCAGCTGGGACCATAGTCACCAAGAAAACAATTGGTAACACACTACGCCGTGAAGGACTGAAATCCTGCAGCGCCCACAAGGTCCCCCTGCTCAAGAAAGCACATACAGGCCCGTCTGAAGTCTGAATGATTCAGAGGAGAACTGGGTGAAAGTGTCGTGGTCAGATGAGACCAAAATCGAGCTCTTTGGCATCAACTCAACTCGCCGTGTTTGGAGGAGGAGGAATGCTGCCTATGACCCCAAGAACACCATCCCCACCGTCAAACATGGAGGTGGAAACATGCTTTGGGGGTGTTTTTCTGCTAAGGGGACAGGACAACTTCACCGCATCAAAGGGACAATGGGCGGGGCCATGTACCGTCAAATCTTGGGTGAGAACCTCCTTCCCTCAGCCAGGGCATTGAAAATGGGTCGTGAATGGGTATTCCAGCATGACAATGACCCAAAACACAAGGCCAAGGCAACAAAGGAGTGGCTCAAGAATAAGCACATTAAGGTCCTGGAGTGGCCTAGTCAGTCTCCAGACCTTAATCCCATAGAAAATCTGTGGAGGGAGCTGAAGGTTCGAGTTGCCAAACATCAGCCTCGAAACCTTAATGACTTGGAGAAGATCTGCAAAGAGGAGTGGGACAAAATCCCTCCTGAGATGTGTGCAAACCTGATGGCCAATTACAAGAAACGTCTGACCTCTGTGATTGCCAACAAGGGTTTTGCCACCAAGTACTAAGTCATGTTTTGCAGAGGGGTCAAATACGTATTTCCGTCATTAAAATGCAAATCAATTTATAACATTTCTGACATGCGTTTTTCTGGATTTTTTTGTTGTTATTCTGTCTCTCACTGTTCAAATAAAACTACCATTAAAATTATAGACTGATCATGTCTTTGTCAGTGGGCAAATGTACAAAATCAGCAGGGGATCAAATCCTTTTTTCCCTCACTGTAGCTACTCCGTATAATTAAGAGTTTGATGGAGGCTGGGCTGCAGGGACCCCAATGTTACTTCCCTGATACCCCTCCTCTGTGCCCCTCTCCCAGGGAATCAAGGCAGTACTGGCGGAGAGCTACGAGCGAATCCACCGCAGTAACCTGGTGGGCATGGGGGTGATTCCTCTGGAGTACCTGTCTGGGGAAACAGCAGACAGCCTGGGGCTGACAGGACACGAGCGCTACACCGTGGTCATTCCTGAGCCACTCACACCCAGGATGATTGTTGACATTAAGGTTGGTTTGCCTGGTGATAGAATGGTATGGGATGGGAAATACTGGACTGAGGAAGGGTTAACAATCATTCATATGGTCAATTTTGCAGAGTTTCTAGATCCTTTCATGATAAAGCTAACAAATGAAACTTAGTAGTTTCTGTTAACTTTCTGTACTGTATATTGTGATTCTGTCATAGTTTAGTAAGTGGCAATACTTTGTATAAAGTAATGTGCTTCTAATGTAGTCATGTTTTACTAGTACTCTGTAGTATACTTAGCTAGGTAGTTTACTCCTGGAGCATATGGCATCAACAACAGTTCATCCTAATATCCTACCACTGTCTGTTTCCTTTCCATCACAGCTCGACACGGGCAAAACATTCCAGGTGAGGATGAGGTTCGACACGGACGTGGAGCTGACGTACTTCCACAACGGAGGCATCCTGAACTACATGATCCGCAAGATGTCTGAGAACTAGAGAGAGCACGCCGTCGGGACCAAGTCATGCTGAACACGCACATCCTTCGTGTAGACGGCGATGCAGAACGCACTGAGTCCCCCCTCTCTGTTTCTGTTTGATTTTAACATTGTTTAGGTCATTCATTGGTTTTAGTGCATTAATCGACCACAGTGCTGGTTCCATGCTTGATCCAGTGCAAGTCAGAATGATGGAATTGAGTCAGAAGAACCCCACAGCACATTTAACACTTTCTTAATCAAGCCCAGCTAAAGTGTTTGAAAGATAAATACTTTTTAAACCCAGGTCTCGTATAATGTGACATTAGTACAGTAACCACCCTACCTCTTTGTCGCCAAACCAGTGGTCCACCCACCCTCATTCCTCCGTCCATGCTAACATTAGCTAGCCATGCACACAAACCTAGTCTGCCCTGGTTGGCTGTCTTGTCCAGTTGTTACCATCGTTGGTTCAAAGCTGCCATTCACTGTCATCTGTTCCGACCAGGGTTGTATTTGTTGATTTCATGTCTTATTATATGTCATTGTGTCATTTTACAAACTGCTGCTGTGGTGGAGCAGACAGGCTGCTTCTGAAATGGAGCCCTATTCCATATATAGTGCACTACTTTTGACCAAAATGTGTGCACTATATAGGGAATAAGGTGTTCAACCCAGACACTGTAATAGGTTGGCTTACATTTACATTTTAGTCATTTAGCAGACGCTCTTATCCAGAGCGACTTACAGTTAGTGAGTGCATACATTTTTTCATACTTGAGTTGGCTTCGACTCCTGACAACGAGGGTGTTGGCATTGTATTATAAAAAAGAGACCGCCATAGTTTATTAGAATGGAATTAGAATACCTAAGTTTAATTGCCTTAAATGGTAAAGTTGACATTATTAACTCTCGCCTTTTTATGGGAGGAACAGTATATTATATTGTGTGTGTGCCTCGTTCCTTTTAAATCTATTTAAATGCTGCCTCTGCACTAAGGTTTTTACTAGATCAGTAATTCCAGTCTTGTAGTCTCTTTCATAAATCCACTTTTCTTTCTTACCCTGTTGATGTTGGCAATAGGACTGTAATGATTATGTAGCAGTGAGTGCTTACTACTGTTGGTGAGTAGGGTTGCAAAATCCTTTTTAGAAGATTCCCGGAATCAGGAGGGAATGAGCAGGAATCCTCCGACCAGGATTTCTGGGAATTTTGGGAAGTTACCAGAATTGTGCAACCCAATTGGTTAGTGTGGCTGGACTTAATACCTGGGTGCCGGTGTGACAGCGAGGCTAGTAAATCAAGTTCATATAATCATGCATTCCAAACCACATTAAGTTTGGAGAATTATAATTTTCTCTAAGCACTTGGGGTTTAATGGACCAAATAGTCATACTTTGAGATTCATTTCAAAAGGTACTTGTTTGTGGTATGGATAAAATGTTAAAAAATTAAAAATAAATTCAAGGTTATCAGGAGTCTGCTACAAGGCCACATCTGGGCTAGTGGTGGCGCCTTGATAGTCCTTACTCCTTACCTTCTTTCCACAAATAACTGAACATGTCAAATTCCCGGTACATATCCACCATGTTGCTGTCACCTATCATGTATTTTCAGTGATTGCATAATGATATCAACAATCCTGTTATGAAATGGCTCAGGGCCAGAGTAAGACTATGTTTGTCAAATTAATACACATTCATTTATGACTTATAAGATGGGAAGGTTCTCTAATAAACTTTAACTTCTACATAACTCAAATGCAGCACTTGTGTCAAAAGAATTGTGCATTATTAGCATACTATAGCCTATTCTTGAAAAATTACTTTAAAGAAATACAATAAAGACCACTGGATTTTGGAATAATATAACATGTTATAAAATAATTGCACACAATTACATTTAACTGGAATGTGAACATAAAATACCTTCTGTACAATAAATGGCTAAAATGGTACAAATTACAATGTAATTTGAGTAACTAACCCACAACTGCATACAAAGCTGTATCAAAGTTTACATTTCTGTGGCATAATATGTAAAGTTAGCACCATATTGTTTTACAGTGATGAGAGTAACCCGAGTCTTACGTTGTTATTCATAAAATATTACCTTTGTATTTTTATACACAAATTCATGGAAATACTATATTCCTCCAACCCAGTTATGACTTATTTCAGACGTGACCGTGTTACTACCATCAAGGACATACATTTGAATACAGCCTTGCTACCACTGAGCAAGTCAAATAATACTTGAAATGTACAGAAGAGGTATCCATTACTCACAATACTACTATACACCGATATGACATATTACACAGATGACCAGTGCAGCAGTTACAGCTCTCAATAATAATTAGTATAACGATACACAATGTTACTCAGGTGAACAGTACTATACATCATTAAAGGGATAGTTCACATTAAGAAGGTTAAAGAAACCAATGTAATTTGAGTGTACTATCCCTTTAAACTACTGTAGCTGGAATAGCACTTAGGAGCAGGTTGACAGTTACTAGATGAAATACACTCAGTAGCCAGTTTTTTAGGTACACCACCCTGTTCGCGAAAAATGGTTCGCTCCTACAGACCGTGCTCTTGCTATATAAAGCAGGCAAACCGGCATCGAGGCATTCAGTTACTGTTCGATTGAACGTTAGAACGGGCAAAACGAGTGACCTAAGCGACTTTGAGCATGGTATGATCGTCGGTGCCTGGCGCGCCGGATCCAGTATCTCAGAAACGGCCGTCTTCTGGGCTTTTCACACACGACAGTGTCTAGGGTTTACTGAGAATGGTGCGACAAACAAAAAACATCCGGTCAGCGGCTGTCCTGTGGGAGAAAACAGCTCGTTGATGAGAGAGGTAAAAGGAGAAAGGTAAGAATGGTGCAAGCTAACAGGCGGGCCACAAACAACGGCGCAGTACAACAGTGGTGTGCAAAACGGCATCTTAGAACGCACAACTCGTCAGTCCTTGTCTGGATGGGCTATTGCAGCAGACGACCACACCGGGTTCCACTCCTATCAGCTAAAAACAAGAAGCAGCTCCAGTGGGTACGCAATCACCAACACTGGACCATTGAGGAGTGGAAAAATTATCACCTGGTCCGACGAATCCCGGTTCCTGTTGCATCATGCTGATGGCAGAGTCAGGATCTGGCGTAAACAGCAAGAGTCCATGGACCCGTACAGGCTGGTGGTGTAATGGTGTGGCAAATGTTTTCCTGGCACACGTTAGGTCCCTTGATACCAATTGAGCAACGTTTGAACGCCACAGTTGTATCTGAACATTGTTGCTGACCAGGTGCATCCCTTCATGGCTACAGGGGGGTCTGACCCGGTACTAGATGGGTGTACCTAATAAACTGGTGATGTTGAGAGCTTACGCGGTGCATCAAGACATGTTTGCAACTGATGTGTTTAATGCACTACTACTTTAACCCTTTAATTGAAGCTGACCTTTTCATTTATCTATTGCTGTAGTACCATATTAAATGTCCTTTGGGTACCTTTAGGTAATCGGTTGGTTAGCTTTATGAATGCAACTTGTCTTGAGGGTCAGCTCCAATCCTGTTGCAACGGCAGTGGAAAGAAAACATTTTCTGTTTCACAGCATGTGTCCAACGTAGAGATCCCCCTTGGCTCATGTCTTGACGTAACACATGTAGCAATGTCCCCTGCCCATATTACAGTCTGATTTGCCACTCGGCCCTCCTCCACAACAGAACACACCTCCTGGTGCCCTTCCTCTGGCCGGGCTCTTCCTCCAGTTTGTGTAGGTGTTCTCACCTCTCCCTGCATTCCCTGACGGCAGCGCTCCACGTCGCCTTGCACTCGGTGCTAAGGAAGTAGCAGTAACCATTGTGATAAGTCCAGCCCTTACGACACGTCTGCGCACTGACCATCTGTGTTGCTGAGGAGGAAAATGGCCAACCAATGACGTTAGAGGAAATTACTGAAACATGAAACAACTAACATACAGGGCCGGTTTCCCTGACACATATCAAGCTTAGTCCAGGAATCTGTCCCAGAATGTTGAGATATGATTCCCGGGTAACCCATACTATATAACCCCCTGAAATAGTCTACGTATGATATTCACAACACAATTGGGTAAATGATGGGGGTCAGTGGAGGCTGGTGGCTGAAATTGAGTAAATGGAATGGAGTCAAACGTGGTTTCCATATGTTTGATACCGTTCCATTGATTCCATTCCAGCCATTACAGTGAGCCTGCTCCTCCCACCAGCCTCCACTGATGGGGGTACATTATTTGCTATTCTGTTTCAGGCACTATCCATCCCAGGTTGATTACCTCATCAGTGGGAGCCCAAGGCTTCCAGGAGACCCCGTTGCAGCATAGGAGCCGGCCTGAGCTCTGGTTGAAGTGCAGGAGCCCCATCACCTCTGGGACTCAGGGTTTAGGGCCAGAGCTACCTGGAGCCTCCTGAGGGACAAAACCATCAGAGTAAGTAACACACTTAGTTCAGTTTTTCATCATATTGGAAGTAGGTTATAGGCCAAGAGAGAGACTGTAATGTTTTGGGTTTGTTTACATAGCACATGCCACCAATGTCTGAATAACCCTCAGTGTCTGCGACTGTCAATCCAACAGTTTAGCTGTTACACCAAAAGATCCGAACCTCTTGATGTGATTGCTGGTGTTGTACTAAAGTCGCTCCGATATAGAAACTGTTACGAATAAATGTAACGATGACTCACCTTCCTATTGGGCGGCTCAGGCTTTGTATGTGGGAGCTGGAGATGGACCGTCAGAAATGTTGTAGCTATGTCAATACTTCTGTAGGATACGGACACAACAAGCAAGCTCAAGGGAGTAGTTGGAGAGACAATCTATCATGGTAGATCATGTTTCTTGATGTAATTTCTCTACATATTATGTAAAAAAAGGAAATGTGATAAGAAATACACATTTACACATAAACACACTGTTATGCCAGCACAACTGTACTTTTGCCCAAAAGTCTCACCTTTTCCTGAGTCCCTGATCTAGACCAGAGCTTTGGAGCTGCTGCCCAGCATGGCCCCCTCAGGGGACACCAGAGTCAATTCAAATGTCTCCTCCGCCTCCTCCAGTTGGTCTTGGGTAATCTCGATCCGCCAGCTCCTTTTGGACACACCTTCATAAAGAGCAGAGGTTTTAGTTTCCTATCTAACCTATGATGGTAGTTCAACATCCCACTACAAAGCCACACATACCAGGATCAAACTGGATTAGGCTGGAAGGGCTCAGAATGTAATCCTCTCCAGCAGTCGCTGTGACTTCTCTCACCTAAGATATTAGGAAAAACAGAATCCAAAAGTGACATTCATTGCACTATAATTCATTTAATGTGCCCATCTATCACTCGATTCACTAGATGACAGGTATAAGAATCATAGACTGTTTAAAAGGGATAGATCAGAAATGGTGATGTACGAGGACTCTGCCACGTTGCCTTTCCATAGGACGTCCAGTGAGACAGCGCCCTGGTCCTCACATACCTGGTGCTCAGACACAGCCAGCTCCACGCGAGACCACTTCAGGTCCAGTCTGCAGCAGGGAGCCAAAAAATAGTTTTACACACCAACCAAGGATTCTGTATTGCCTTTCCAAGTTGGTTCAGTGTGATGGTACCTTCTTTCATTACAGCACTGACGTCTGTAGCCATGAAGTGCTTTGAAAG